TATCGTTAATTGCCAATTAAGCCTGAGCTTCAGACTGATGCTTAATTACTGCTAACGAGAGCCGAGTTGCGGCAAGGTCTGCTCTCTCCCACGCACGTTTACCGCGGGAAACACCCGTAAACACGCCACAGCCGCAGCTGATCCCACTGTAAAGTGCATCATGAATATTCACGCCGAATGGGACACACCGCTGAAGACGAGCTACCACTGCTTGAACTCCCTCCGAGAATGTGCGCATAGCATCCTGCTAGTTTATGTGCTGTGAAGTGCACACCGCAGGACCAGGACCACGCTGAGAGCTGAAACCCGTCTCGTGACACTCATGACACCTGCATATGCAAATCTCAGCACTGCGGGCCTGTCGACACCGTCTCACCATGAGCTCAGAGAAATACAGGAATGGAGAGAGGGAGTTTTAGGACTGAAATGTTGGCCTATTTTGGGGATTTCTAAAGGCATGATTAATAACGTATTGACTAGAAACACAGCAGTTCATTCATGTGGAATTGTTTTCCGCAGCATATGCTGTATATATTCTCATAAACTACATTATGTGACGCAAAAGTCATTTGATTTTTGTTATTTAGCATCTTACAAACACAGTCAATGAAAAGCATATTAGCATTTTTTGCTGACAGCGTCATTGCAAGAAAAAACCTTGAATGGGAAGTATTAGTAGGGTAAACATGGCATCAAAACAATATTTAGCTTTTAATGAAGGCAGGCTGTTTGTTCTCTCATATTTTTGAGATTAAATCTCATCAACCCCCTTTGTGGTTTGAATTATATTATTAGACTGTACAGTAATAGAGAGCTCGTAGCGGGATGAATGATCTTTATCTCTGACAGAATCATATATTTGACCTGTCATCTCTTGATGAATGATTCTATAGGCTTGCTTGCGCCACATCTGTAGTTAATACCGTTCAGCTATTTTGGTGAACTCTAAAAAGATGAAACTTTAATAAGGTTCGTTTGACAGCATATATATGAGAACCATGTAGTTTTTATCTATCGATCAGAGGAAATATTTCTGAAACTAATAAAGATATGTGCGGCATTAGGTTTTATACCTCGACGGATTATTTGCCGGGAGTTATTGTTCGGCTTAAGCAAAATGTGGGTTTCTATTATACTCCAGCAGCTAAGCACAGCTAAAGCCTTAATATCCATTTATGAAGATATTCATTTTATATTCAGCAAAATTCATGAGGTAGAAAATGTTATTATAGACCCCATGAAAGCCAAAATGAGCCAATTGAGAAAGAAAGTTTGCATGTGCCTTCTGTGAGCATCGTCTCACCAACCAAACGCCGAAAGTATTTTTTCCCCTCTGAAGTCCACTGTTTTCATGACCATTGTCTTTTCACACAAAATGACTTGATTATCAGAAAACCTGATTAGCAAAGCCCCAGCCCAACTCATGCCATATAGGTTGCAGTGTAGGGCTGCTTTTTCACACCTGGAGGTCCGAAGCACAGACTTAATTTGTTACCATGTTGCATTTTCTTCCTGGTTCGGTTCCCTTTCACAAGGCAACATTTCAAAGTGTACCAAAATGTGTTTATGCAAGTCACATGTGTATAAAACGGTCCTCTTATTGGTCGGAGTTCAACTGTTTTCATTCCTCTGCGTCATCCATCAAAATGGACAGAGACAATCGCTCCGCTGGCTTTATATCCTTTGTCAGGATACACGCAAACACTTTTTCGAATGTAGCCTTGATTCCTGCTCTGAATGATCAATTAAATATATATTAAAAATATATTACATGTATAAAGCAGTTAGACTTCGTCAGGACAGCGTTCTTGCAATGCACGAAGAAGAGAAATTACTCAGATAAAGAGGCGCTCTTTGGTTTTCAGCCATAAAAACTCCAAATCAGACACTGCTTCTTGTATAATACATGAATTATGATACGGCTTAGTTGGTTGGTCCATTGGGTTGGATTGCTTTCAAACCTCAAGCAAACCCCCCCAGGGTTCGTTTTCAATCGGCCGAGACCACCTCGTTTAAGCGACCTCGGAGCGATTGTTTTGGTCTGGATCCGAGTGGGATTGGCGTGTTCATACATGCCTAAATGTAACAACTAAGGAAGAAAGCAATCCGGTCGAATGTGTTTTCGAATACCTCTGTGGTTGAAAGTGGACAAGCTCAAAAAGTTTTAGGGGCTGTTTACCTGTATTTAGCCTCATCCACTTGTGATCCGATTGACCAAAACACATCTTAATACCAGGTGTAAACTGGGCCTAAGATCTGATAATGACTTGGACTTAAAACGGGTTACAATACAAGCGACCTTAAAAGTCATGCACTGAATTCCCAAGCCAAATCCTTATGACCAACCCAACGTCAGGAAGGTCCGCTGACTGTCTGCATCAATAATAAAAGAGTGTGTCTGTTGAGTAATTATCGATCAGCAGCATCATTTCTATAAATGAGCCTGAACATCTGCAGCCTGCTTGGGAATCTTGACAGATCCAGTCCTCAAGTGTTTTCAGGTGAGTTTTAGCAGCATGACATCTCTTTAATAGATGGAGGAGCTGCTAGTGGCAGCATAAGACAGAGATCTCGATGAGACAAGGACGTGGAGGTCGTGACAGAGACACAGGCCACTTAGTGAGTTTAGACAGCTGGACAGGCCCGGAGATGTCCATTTATGAGTCAGAGCTGATGGGATGGACATGGCCAAATTTAGTTACAGGTCTAAAATGCAGGGCACCTCAAACGTCCAGATTTATTTATCAAAGAATCTTAAAAACTATCAGAGTTTCTACAAAAGTATTAGCAGCACAACGGTCTTCAACATGGTTGAAGATAAATGTTTCTTGAGCAGCAAATCAGTATATTAGAATGATTTCTGAAGGATCATGTGACACTGGAGTAATTACGCTGAAAAAATTCATGGGAATAATACAAATTTTAGATAGAAAAGTTATTTGACAGTATTACTGTTTTCAATTGTTTGCTAAAACTAAAGCAGCCTTGATTGATCATGAGACAAAAAAAAACAAAAAACGCACTACCCCAAACTTTTGAACGGTAGCGCACGGCACCTTACTTGCATGGTACGAACAATGTATTGTATAATGTAATATCTATCCTTTTGTTTTTAGAGGCCTTTTAAAAGCATAACAAGGACTCAAATTTTTCCATCTGTTGCTTTTCCTGTCCCAGCTCTAGTCACTAGTGAAAAGCCTGGGACTGTGTGCGCTCTTCAGCCAATCAGTGATGTCAGTGAACAACTGCGAGGTGAACGGGAACGCCAACAGACAGAGACCGCGCTCTTCAGGTAATATAGACCTCCTTTCTTCTAGCCTTTTTAAATCTATTAAATAGTACCAGCCTACGGCACAAAAAATGTTCACCAACTGCTGTGTCCATCACATCCATGTAAAGGTTTGTAACGCCTGACTTATGCCGCTCAAGCCTGTGTATAAAGTCAGCTAATTACTTAATTGTAAGCGTGTGTGTATTCAGTGTAATACTGAGAGATGATGGGGTAAAAAAGGATTTCTGGTCTCACATTTTGTTTAAACTTCTGTTAAATGACACTTTAAAAAGATAAATGAAGTCAGTCAACAACAACAACAACAACCACCACAAAAATAACCTGACTCAAAATTGAAATCACTGGACAAACATCTTGGTTTCATTTTTAATGATTAGTTTTTTTTACATTTGAACATTACAATAGTTTTCTTCCCTCGCTCCGTTCCCTTCGTTTGTTTAAATATTATTACGTGACTGGCTCTATAAATCTTTTCGAGGCTCGGGCGTTTAGAGCGTGTGCCTCTGGCCGCCACACTACACCAAATAAAACAGTTTACATCTGCAGCAGGAAAAAGAAAGACACATTTACATCAGAATATACATATCAGATCATTTAACATTAAAAATTTGCAATTTATATATTTATATATATGTTTGACCTAAAACAGCTTTTCAACTTGAAAAAGAAATCAGCAGCTCTGGGTTTCGGGTCAACATTTCTTTTTTCTTCAGTGTCTTCAACTGGCTGTATATTAAAATATGTCAATATTTCAGATAAAAGGTTCACTATGTCCTTGAAATGGAATCGGAGCACACCAGTAATAGATTGCTTTTCGTTTGGCTTCTTCTCAACCTGCGTTCTGGACGCCAGTGGCAGAAAAATAAAAAGCAACAATTTTTCATACATCAAATCTCCGTAAGGTCACTCGTGACAGCTAGCATGTGCAAAGAGAAAACTGCCATTCTTTTTGTACACAGTGCAAAGCTTCCTCCTCCGTACACTTGATTTACTCAGAATAAATGAAATCTCACAGGACTGAGGTATGATTCATTAGAAATGTTTGTTTGCTTCAGTCAAAAGTGAAATAAACTGCTTCGTTCACGTACAGTCCACGACAGGTTCCAAAATCAAGAGGAACGTCCTCTATTAGACAACATTAACAACAAGAGACAACATAGTAAGTTTCTTTTTTTTTTTTTTTCAAGAGTATAAAAATGTCTGAATGTGCAGAACACAGGAAAACGTCCTTTCGTTGATCACTACACACAGTGTGCTTTGGACGGGAGTGGTGTTTCTGAAACTCCACGGTGAATGAGGAAAGATTCAGCTCATGTTATGTCCGTGAGTATGCTGGTATCACACCTGTAAAATGATTCAGCTCGTGTCATGTGTATACACTAATTAGAAAAATCATGTTACTGGAGTTGTTTTTTTCTCACCATCATACGTCAATTAATTTCACCCTGAACTGGTTATATGCAGTGAAGTATATTTACAGTTACATTTTTCTCTTATATTTGAAACCACCATGTTTGAAAACAAACGTTACAGTATACTTTTTTTTTTTCTAAATGACAACAACAACAAACACAGATAGATAGATATAGATATATATAAAAAGGACCATAAAAATATTGGAGTCCTCTCCCTCTGTATTGCCCAAAAATAGGTCATTATGATCAACAATGAGACTTCACAATTAAAAACAGCTACTAAGATTAAGTAATTTTCTTTTTTTCTTTTTTTCAATGGATGAATGGCGTGGTGTCTTTCAGTGCGGCGTCTGTCCAAGTGTGCAAAATAATTTTTTTTTAACTGGCATCAAAATTGAGTCGGACAACACTTGTGAACACTTAAAATGAGCGAAGAACCTTAAAAGAATCGTGACAATCGCAACTGAATAATTCATTCATTTAAGTATTTTTCTCTAAAAGCCAAAGTCATTTAAAAAGCATACAGAAAGGGGACAAAAAAGAAAAGCAGGGAGTCCTGCAGTGACATGAGGGCTGGATTACTGTTAACAGCAGTTGTGATGTTTTGTTTTCTGAGATGTTTTTCTTCTTTATTTGGGTCCACCCCCCCTTGTCCTTTCACCAATCAGAACCTGTAGTGCTTGAAGTCTTTATGACATCAACTGTACATGAACCAATCAGAGACTCTGGCCATTTTCCCAGGGCCTCCAGATGAATTCTGGTGATTCAAAACAGATGACACACATTATAGAACAGGAAACCACGAACATTTGCTACCTCAAGTGTTTTTTTGGGTTTTTTTTAATCATTCTTGTTTAGACTATGAATGGCTACATAAAAGAATCAGAATTAGGTTTTCTGAAAGAGAAAAATGTGCATACCTTCAATGAGTTGGTGCTGCATCTTTGCTTCGCTTTCAGTGGTATCCATTTGTAAAAGCTGTGGCGATCAAAGGACCCTGAAAGCAGATAATGTGTAAGATGTTGAGCAGAATCATTGATATAGTGTGAATCTAACACAGAATAATTCACACGTTTCTCTTTTATGAACTGTCTGAGATTCATTCTTCTCTCATGTGCAGAATCAAAAACTCCACTTTAAGAGAACAATTATTCACAAATGATAAAAGTGCCAATAAAAGCTGTGATCTGAGTGTCACTGAGAGCAGACATCCTGATGAAGTAAAAAGCATGGTTAGTTTGGCGACAGCAGAAGTTTTAGATGCTGGTTTGTCCCTGGCACCACTGTTGAATTTCCATTTCAAATTGGATTTTTAAAAATTACTTTATTGGGATTACACAGACTAACAGAAACTTTGAATAAGCATCATAAAAATAATTTGTTCACTATCAACATTTCCATTAGTTTTTAAAGTGCCACTATTAGGCTATTTTAAAGGTTTCTATTTTTATTTCGCAGCTCTCCTACAACAGGTTTACATGAATGAATCCAAGGTCAAAACCACTATTTTACTCATAATATACATTGCACATCACCTCATTTCTCAAAGAGTTTGAAAACGGTTAGTTCAAAGATTCAGTCGCTCCAAACCCCTCTTTTCCGAAAGCCTACTCTGCTCTGATTGGTCAGACGGCCCAGTCTGTTGTGATTGGAAACTAAACACGCATTATCATATCTGAATTTCAGCTCCGGATCTTCCTCAGCGCTTGATACACAGTGATATGAACAGTAACGATGGTGTCGGTTTTACTCTATCAATTCCAGCTCGAATCCTAATCCTTTGGAAGTGCATGCAAAGGGGATTTGCAGCACTGAAAAGTGCATCTTCTCGACATGTCGTCAACACGAACCAAACTCTTCCAGACCTCAGCTACAACTACAGTGTTTGAGGGCGGGTCAAAGTAGACGACGTTCATGGGCAGCCAATGAAGACCATAGGCTGGCATTATGCAAATTTGTACAATGTTACGTAGGTATGTAACATGAAGTGAGACTTGAATTACTGACGAGTGACGACTCGTTTCGGCAGGTCAGAATCGATTCTTTCTTTTAGGAGACATTCATTTTATTTGTTATGTACTTCAACATTTAAAACTTTGCAGACCTTTTACATTCACAAACAGCTACATTACACACTGCATGAAAGGTAATATTTGAGAAAGAATAATAAGGGCACTTTAATATATTTTTATTTCATAAAATATATATTTTGTTTTTTTATAAACACCCTCTCATCCAGGAGATCTGTTTATGGCCAAACATCAGGAGTTGTTTACTAAAATGTGCTTTTTTTTAAATGCCATTTCTTTTATGCTACTTAATAAAGCTGCTACAATCCACATCAGAGTAACTCGGAGGTGTCTAAACATAAGGAAAATTCAAGAAGAAAACATATTTGCTGTGATTCCTCTTCCGTGGAGCTGATCAGTCCTGAATAAATAAATCCTGCCCATTGTCAGACTGAATTTGTGAACTTACAAACCCACACGGCTGATTTAGAGGGCAAAACGGCAACCTGTCAACAAGCCTTTCTGAGAAACACAGCCGCTTATCGGGCCTGTCATCAGACTATTGTGTGCATGGCAGGAGCGGATCTGTCTAATCCATACGAATAAATCAAAGTCGGTCTCACACCCGCTGCTTTAGAGGGCAGGAAGGAAAGGCTTTCTTAAGTTTATATTGGCTTTTCTACCAGGCTTCCTCATTTTAAGAATTGTGGGTAATAAAACTATTTTGTCTTGGACATGTGTTAAAACTACAAGTTTGAGAGAGAGGGAGAGAGAGAGAGAGAGAGAGAGAGAGGGAGAGAGGGGGGGGGGTTCCAGTAGGAGGTGAACTGGTGACACGAGTCAGAAAAATAAATGGAGACGAGCATTTTAGTTCTGCGTCATTTCCCGTGTTAATGTTCTGCACGGAGACATCAAGAACTACACACACACATCTATCAGTCCAGCTAAACGATCGCACACTACATTTGGAATTAATCACATAGCACAAAACGCTCTCGCTCAGAAACACACTAATGCCGATGAATAAAGTTATGAATTCATGCAGTGGCATGTTTTATTTAGATGCCAGGAGGCAGAAATGAAGAATAAAAGACTCAAGTTTCTGCCCACTTCAGTTTCTAACCAGCAGTTAATATTCCTGTCACCAATGAATTGTCTTTATACACAATAAACAGCTGTTTATTTGCAATTCTTCAACATTAGCAACCAATTTAACGAGGGTTTTTTTTTTATTCAAAGTGACTTCATTCTTGCAGAGCCAATCTCTAAACATAAATGTCTTGCTCAAGGGCCTAATAGTGAAAGTTAACAAATCAAGTTTGTAGAATCAAACCTTTTAATTACCAGCCAAGTACTTTAACCACTAGGCCAGTGGTTTTCATTCCTGGTCCTGGGGATCCACAGCTCTGCACATTCTGTATGTCTCCTTTATTTAACACACCTGATTCAGCTAATAAGATCCATAGCTGTGTTTAAGTTCACCTTTTTCATGCCCTTCATGAGTTGCTGTTGTAGATCTGCACAATTAACCGTTAAAAGATAGCGATCCCGATTCAAACATCCACACGATCTTATTCCAAAATGACAACAATTTGGTTATGTCTATAGTATTGGAATAAAAGTTTATAATTTGGATATAAACATTGATGTCTACGGTAGTGATCAAAATAGAGTAAGTAACCTTTTGAAAGTAACTTAACACTTTAAAGGGACAATGTGTACTTTATGTATTTTATTATTTAAAATCAATATTTTTATTCATAAATATGTCCTCAATGGTGTACAAATACCTCTGCCAATTATCTGACTTATCCTCGTAAACGAAGAATTTATTATCTTTATATACATGGGACGGGTAGGTCCACGGAGGCTTCCATGTAGTTCCGCCATCTTGAAAAACTATAATAGCAGAGAGGGACAAAAAGTACTATGCCAACGCCTTTCCACAGCGCGTTTTCGTTCAGAGCCAGTGTGATGTAACTGAACGCAGCAGACCGGAGGAGTAGAGCAGTGAGAGGCGCTTGTCACTGCCCCGGCAAGTTTAAAAGGCTGCATTGCAAATCCTCGTCGCCAGAAAAGTCCAAAAATAGATCGTAAAAGGAAACGTGACTGGAGATTACAAAAAACACGAGTTAATGTCGGGATAGCTTTTTCCAGGTGGATAGAGCTAATGCAGGAGAAAGATTTCAAAAGAGACGCTGAAGTCCTGCTTTCTTCTCGACAGGTCAATGTTACAGTCTTAATTACAAGCTTTTTTTCCATTGTTTGGTTGTGTACTTTATTTTATAGACAGATGAACATTTATAGTTAAAAGTTGATGATGATATCTAACAATGCACATACTTCAGAAAATATAACGAATAAAGAAGGCATAACTTACTTATTACAATAGTTCATGTTTTTCACAGTCAGTAATTCATCCTGTAACATTCGTTTGTTCGCTGGTCAAGTTGCAGTTTGTTTGAAATAACAATCCTGTTCACCCGAAGGAACACTCGACGAAGTGCTATTAAAAGACATCCTGTCATAGCTTTTTGGTACATAATGGCTACCGTAGATGCAACGGGCATTTGAAAAAGCGAGGTGCTGGAGAGCACAATTCGTTTGAATGCAAAATACATTTTCACCGCTAGATGGGAGAAATTCCTACACATTGTCCCTTTAAATAAAGATTGTATCAATTACATCGTTACACCAGTAGGTGGCGACAAGTGACTATTTGTCATTAAATCATTAAGTCAAAACATTCGTTCAAAAACACAGACTTCACTTGTTTCATTACTGGGTGAATCAATATGAGTGAGTCATTGAATCATTTATTAAAACTGATTTAAATTTTATTTAAATTCAACTTAAAGCTGCAGTCCGTAGCTTTTTTTTAGTTAAAAATTATCCAAAATAAATTGAGCAAGTACTTAACCAGCCATGGTTCAAAACTATCTGCTTGCCGTAGCTCGATTCAAAACGTTAAGCTTGTAATAATGTTTTTAATTCCAGTGGTACTGGTGGATGTCCGCGGGAGATTCGAGCATGTCTTTGCGTCATTACGTCACATCTGTACACATGAAGGAGTTTTGGCTTGTAGGCTATATTGCGTGTGAGGATGTTGGAGGTGGAGATTTATAGCCTTTTCTCACAGCACTTGATATAATTAAACTTATCAATTTGATGGCGGATCCAGAAAGGTTCAAACGACAATCACCAGTGACAACTAGAGATTCACCCGCTGTAAAATGCAAAAGACTTTGGACTTCGGAGTGGCTACAGAAAAAAAGAGACCGCAACCGGACCCATGCGAAAACAAGGATAATATCAGAAGGGCATTACATGTAGTCACGCAATGTTGATGTTGTTAACATTACAATTTGAGAACAAAGTATAATTTGCACGGTTTTACGTGATATGATAAGCGATCATTAGATTTAATCAGCGTGATTTACTGCAATGCTTTTTCCCCTTAGTTTGTCAGAACAAAAGTGGATGTTACTTACTAGTTCAGATGACATTTTCTGGTAAAAATTCTTATGTTGGTCATACTTCCAAAAAGTATAATCTGTGATTCTGAATGCCAGTATCCACACTGGCACGGTGACTGACAGCCGCACATTCTCCTCAAAACACTGGATTCATCCGCGCTGTGCCGTGCCGAGGCACAACCCACGTAAAGTTGAAAATTCCGCGAATAACTGCAATTGCAGATTTCGAACAGAGATGGCGACAAAGAGGAAAAACTGCGGACTGCAGCTTTAAATATATATTTTTAAATAGACAGCAGCAAATAACATTTTGTCAGAACCTCTAGTAAATTACGTTATTTTGTTTAGTTGTCTATTCAGAATCGAACAGAGGAGAATTCAGGAGAATTGTGATCTCATTTCTAATTTTCTAATATTCTCAATTTATCCAGAATCGTGCAGCTCTGTGATGTTGTGACATCTCAACCGTGTTCCATTGTGGTCTATGGATCTGCCTGAAGTGTACATACGAGTAGACTCTATCCCTTGGTCAAAACCAAGGGGTCGAGGGTCTGTCCAAAAACAAAAGTCCACTCGAAGTTGAACACACTTCAAAATGGCGGCAGGGATTCCTCGAGGGGAAGTGCTTAAGGAAGTTTGTGAGTGTCTAAAAGTCAAAAGCTGACCATGAACTGAAATAAGTGTGTCAGATATGAGAGACAGAGAAAATGTGCAGAGCGATGAGTCACCAGGACCAGGATTGAAAAACCACTGCACTGGGCATCATTTTTCTATTCTGATGGGAAAATCTCTCCGGTTCTGGCTCAGAAGTTTAGGAATAGTTCAGACAAAAATGATATTTCTGTCATTTTGGCATTCTTGGCACATGTTGGTTATGAGACATTTGAGAACAATGAAAACTAAAGTAAATGTTTATTCCTCAAACCAAAATGCGACAAAAGTATTGTCTGATTTCTGAAGACTTTGAATATACCATCGTATGGATCGCTATTATGGTGATTGTTTTAGGAGCTTCTATAAAAAAAAAAAATCTTATCAAGGTTTGGAACAGCAAAATGAGTAAATGATGACAGAATATTTAACTAATCCACCACAATTACATCTCTATCATTCTTTACCTTTCATATACAGCAGATGAAAACAGGCCTCAAAGCAGATCAGCCTCAAGCAACAAAACTGTAGAAATCTGCTGCAAACACTCGCATAAATCAAAACGTGCTTCAGTTAGTTAAGAAACTGATTTGTGAGAACAGGGTGAATAATTTAATTTCAATTTGGCACCTCATTATAAATGCTTTCTTCTTCAAATTGAGATCCGTGCTGACACCGAGCCGCAACCTGACGTCCGTGACATGTGCAGACAGAATCCGTGCGCTCCCCGATAAAAGCCAATTAAAGCAAGTTTTTGTGCAACGCAGGGGCTTTTGTTTGGAGACGGTGTCAAGAGCATCTGCTAGTTACAGGGACATCTGATTTTTGACAATTTGCTCATTTCCAACCATGGCAGCTTTTCGCTTTCTCTAAACTGTTTGTGATGCTTTTATTCCCCAAACAAAACATCAGCGAGACGAGAAGTGTCAGTCTAACGGAGACTCGTGACTCATTGGGGTATTTTTGAACATGTGGAATGGAACTAATTCCTCTGATATTCTTTTTTTTCTTCTTTCTTTTTTTTTCCAGTGCTGCGTTTCTAAATTGCTGCGCTGACAATCAAGCCCTTGGCATAAAAAAGTGAGTCACGATGGAGGGAACAGCCAATCAGACACTTATTTCTCAGTTGGAGGTTGAATAGAATTAAAAACTATGATGGACAAAAGTGAGAACTTTCTCTGTACTTTTGGATGTCTTGAGTGAAAGAGCGCTGTACTCACTGCGATACTGTGATTGAACCCGGAGCCCGGCTGGGGGCTGGCAGCACTGATGTAATTTCCCACAGCTGAGTCCTGACTGCTGGGGCCGTACAGGTCTGCCACGGGTCCAGGACTGTTTGCACCGGGGAAACCTCCAGGCCGAGGAGGGTTAGCACCTGTACAAGACACACACACACATCAGATCCATGATACATCAAATGTCAGTCACTAAGGTGGCAGAGACAGTTTCCAGCACAGAGAATCATGGGAAAGAATACATACACTACCGTTCAAAAGTCTGGGGTCAGTAAGATATATATTTTAAAAGAAAATAATACTTTTAATCAGGTGAAAGTAAAGACATTTATAATGTTACTAAATATTTATATTTAAAATCAACGCTTTTGAACTTTGTATTCAAAGAATATTTAAGTGTATCATAGTTTCCACAAAAACATGAAGCAGCAAAAACTCTTTTCAACATTGATAATAATAAGAAATGTTTCTTTCTCACTAAATCAGCATATTAGAATGATTTCTGAAGGATCATGTGACACTGAAGACTGCAGTAATGATGCTGAAAATTCAGCTTTGCCATCATTTTGAAACATATTCAAACTAGAGTATGACACATTACTTGTATGGTATGAACACTTTTTTATTGAGTAATGACCATTATAACAATGCGAATGTGTTTAAAGCTAAATAACATCTTCAGGGGCTGTTCAGAAGTTCTTCCATTGCTTGTTCTGTTTAAAAAAAAAAAGTTGTTGGACTATGCAAACTACATGGGTATCTTTGATAATTGTAAGGAGTTTTCCATGAGCACCGTGTTTTTAAGACACCTGCATTCTGTCCACTTGTTCGGTTTTTAAATACAAAAATGTACTTTATGAACCGCCTTCACAATTGGACAGCATATAGATTAAAAACACCCACAACATTTATGCAAAACAGCAAGCAGCCTGGTCTGATCGAATGCCGTTCAGCAGGTCTGATCGAAGGACAGGGAGAAATGCAGGCTTTCCTGCTGTGCTGAGCACGCTGTGAGCTGAGATTTCAAATGAGTATGAACACGCATGTAAAGATCGAGCTTCCTTCGTGACTGCTCATTTCCTAAATCTCTCTTCACAGTGACGGAGTTACAGTTGGAGTTAGAGAGACCTCCCAACAACTAAACATCAGTGACTGCAGTCACCACAGGTGTAAACTAGAGAAAGAGCTGCACGTGTATGATGTAGGCTTGCTGCGGTAGCACACGGATTACATTACTTGCACATCACAGCACGCAGCATTTATTAATTAAAATAAAAACCATTTAGTTCAACTTCAGTTGGACGACGGACGCTACAATTAGAAATTGAAAGCGACTGCTCTGCCCCATACAGTGCAGCAAGAGTCCGATTTCCCGCATCACGTGGCAAGAGTAAAGCCCAATTTATACTTCTGCGTTGAACTCACTCTGTAGCTACGTCGCAGGCTGTGTGTAGCACGCGTACCCTGACGCGCACCTCTCCAAAAATGTAAATTCTACGCGGACCACAAGCGCTGTGATTGGTCTGTGAGCACAAATTCTAAAGTGAAAGTGAAAATCGAGTATCTCAAGAATTAATTTAGATATTTGAATATATAGAAATAAATATTAAGTTCAGCAATATTTTTTATTTAGCAGTATTTAACCCCCTGGGGTCGGCTATCGCGCCGGCGCGATTGTCTCGCTTTTTTTCTTATCAGTGCAAAAGAGACTCAAAATACTCGGTTGATTTTGATCTTACATATAAGTGCGATACATCATTAGATCCTGTTAAGTTTCTATTTTTTTTGTGGATACTCACAATAAAAACAAAGTGTTGTGCTTTTCACCAAATAAAGAAAAACAAACATGATGCGAGTTCTGCGTTCTCTCTGTCAGTGAAGTCCATTCTGAAACGCGTCCTAAGATTAACTGTAACTCCGCGATTACTTGTCACACAGGCACGAGAGATTTTTCTTTATGAAGCTTGAATTCTCTTCTTTTAAATGAAGTAATTTATATAAAAAAACAAATATTCTCAGTTTATGCAATCTGTATGAAAAGAGAGTGCTGTCAGTATTTTTTTTCCCAGCTCATTACACTTCATTACGCGTTAATCTGACACGCCCACGGAGGGCGCTATTCAAATGCAAATGTCGAGGCAACCCATGACAATGCCCACATCAGCCATTCCACCGCGGCGGTAAAATGTGTGGTGTATTTGCTGCCTTTTACCGCTAAGAGGCGCTACAATCATAGACTCTGAAAAGTGTTCGTTTATTCCGGTTTATTCTCTCTAATGCGTAATCTGCTGCCGCACCGCGCTGATTCAGAGCGATTGAAAGCTGGTAGCAGAAGAATTCAACAAGTGAAACGTAGTTAAAATAATTCATAATCACAATACTGAAATTAGGCTACTGAAATGTAATTGAATAAATAATGAAAACATTTCAACATAAAACATTGCAATAAAAACATTTAGGCTACATCAATGAGGCTTTACAACTTTATCAGCGTACAAACGGTAGCTCAATGATCAACGCAACAACACGAGCTTCGAGGAGCTTCAATAGACCCGAGATCGAATCTCAGTGTAGCATAGGCCTACATGTTGTTAACCGATGTTGTCCTACAGCGTTTATATTTTCCCACCTTGATGCTTAAATAGGTAACTGTTTATATCTGTTTACTTATATAAAGTCAAGAGTTTTGTTTGATTATCATTACAACATAAATTTGCTACATTCCTGTAGAACCACAGCCGCTGCACAAACGACAAAAACTGATGATTGTCAGCCGATTGCATCAGAAAATGAAAATGAAGAAGCTCGTCTTTAGTCTGCTAAATTATTTTGTAATGTAAAAGACCACTAAAATTACTTAAGTTCGAAACCAAGTTCGAACATTTCAAGGTTTAAATTTTTAAATTTAAAACAGGGTTGCATCAGGTTTAGAGTTTATTTCTTTTGCGATGCAAAATAAGAAACACTAGGCTAATCTTATTCTTGCGACATTTTAAATTTGTATTGCCAAAGAAATTACAGCTAAATTAAACAATTAAAACAGTACAAAACGAAAATTGTCCAAAGAAACATAATTAAATTAAAAACATGCGTTTCTCTTTGCCTCTCTCGCGCTCGATCTCTTTTTAACAAGTTTATTTAGTCTCCCTCGCTGCGTGCACCGGGTCTCTCTCGAAATTAAACATTTCAGGGTAAAAACACATCATACCGCTGATAATACTGTATATGTCGCTGCGTGTCAGCCATACAAATCACGAAAAAATTATTTAACCTTTAATTGTTGCTTCAAAGACACAGCATGCCTTGTTGAATTCACCTTACAATAACTTCAATTGAAATTTTGTGTGAAAAAAACTTTAAATAGGCTACAATAAATAAACTACAATATTTATAATTTAATAAGATATGGGGTCTACATTTGGACACAGATTTATCCTTACAATAATTTTGCCTGCTCATCAGGCTGGCTATCCGACACTCTCCATATGAAAGAGGAACATTAACACCTTTGTCCAGCAACTGTCCCTCCAACCCCCCACAGGCTATCGGAGTCTGAGGCTGACTTAACACAAAGAGAAGTCGCAATTCACACTTAAATCGCTATTCTAGACAGTGTTGATAATGAAGGAATTAAATGATTTAAGTTATGTAGCCTAGTGATATTTCTGTCATAAAAGTTTATTACTAAATATTTCATTATTTCAATAATTGATGAAATAAAACTGGTTTGGGCCAGCTTTTTCCAAGTAAAACTAAATATAATCTGAAAAAACGCATGTTAATTTGTTGTCATGAACAAAATGTTCAACTCAATATTAAATTCTACAGGGATCTTTGGATCCTTACAAGGCATGCAATTTGTGAATTAAGTTTTTATTTTATTTTGTATTATTCAAATAAATATCGAAACACGGTGCTTCGTGGTAATGCTGCTAAATTAAATAACATTTATAGAATAATTATGAACTTAAATGAAACAATATCGCAACATTTCGACAAATACATTATTTGATCTGTTTTTACATTTTAATTCAGGGCGATTTAGCCTACATTTAATTAGAGCGAGATTTTCACCCTTGTCTTGTCATTTTCTCATTGGGAAGCGCTTACATTACATGTTTGAGTAGATCCTCTGTACCTCTCGTTTTCATATGGATTAGCCTACACAATCAGATAACATTTATTAGCCTAAATATTTAGACATTTAAAGGCTTTAGACATAGCCGATTTCTTATCGTGACTGAGCTGAAGTGGCTTTCGGTTAATTTTTTGTGACGCGCAGTTCCCGAAGACAGACTACAGATATACTGTTTTTGTCGTTAGCCTATATGAATACAAGTTTACAGTTTTGAACGATGTAAGCTACTCTACTCTTATCTGTATGAGAGAAGCAGGGATGTTTAGACCAGAAGGAAATCCTAGTCCCCCCTGGCAAATCACACTTTACTTAAAACCATGTTTTTTAAAACTCTAGGTTGTAGGGAACAGACCTCTCTGCCATGCGCGCGCACGGTTTGGAGCACAATATCTGTCTCGCATGCACGCTCGCTCTAGATAGATTACGGGATATTTTAACTAATTTGCGGTATAACTAGTCGATCACGAGTGGCTCAACAGGTAGATCTATAGATAAACTATATATTTTAGGAATGTGACCGACCGGGTTGACACTTCAGCGGGAGAAATCGGGGGTGTGGCGTGAGAGCGTGAGATTTGGGTCAATTGCGTGAGAGTTGGCAGCCCTGAAAAAAAAAAATATATATATATATAGGCTATATATAATTATTTTTTTTACAGAACTGCTTTTGAAATTACGATTGGTAGCCTATTATTATACAGATGCAAAGTTGTTCTGTTGGATACTATTTTGTTCCTTAGTGTAAAATGGAAATGCATGATAATTGTATTTTATAAATATAAGCAAAAAAAACTGTATGGTGTAACAGAGTTTTAGAGCTAGACAAATCTAAATATAAAATTTATAGCAGACCATGTTTGTGCGGGATTTGAACCCGTGTCATCTTGATGATGAACCGTAAGTTCTACCGCTCGGCTATGAATTTTCTCACTGAGAAATACCCAAACGTCTGTTTCTCACATGAGCGATTTTTTCATTTAGCCTGTGAGTGTAGGCCTATACTTTAGCCTTTTACAGTTTTAAAAGATTATATCTTATCTGTATGACCAACAATTACGGAGTAGGCTATAAATGTTTGTTGTAGGCTTATTTGGAAATTACCATAACTTGTAGTATTTCATCCTTAGGCTACAGACATTAGCCCCATTACGTTTTGCTAAATGTCCCTTTGCGCCACCTGGCGGTCGTTTCACGAACGACTTTGAAATGCGACTGGTTTATTTTTACCGCGGTGGATGGCTAAAAATGGTATGTGGATGGCTAAAAGGTGTGACTAAAAATGTGCTTTTGGCTTTCATTTATATTTTGATTGTTTGTATATATATATATATATACATACACTACCGTTCAAAAGTTTGGGGTCGGTACGATTTTAAATACTTTTAAAAGAATTCTCTTCTGCTAACCATGGCTGCGCTTATTTGATTAAAAATACAACAAAAATCAGTTATAGTATTAAATATTATTCCAGTGTAAATCAGCTGTTTTCTGTGTGAATATATAGTAAAGTGTAATTTATTCCTGTGATCAAAGCTGAATTTTCAGCATCACCAGTGTCAGTGTCTTCAGTGTCAAATGATCCTTCACAAATCAGTATAATATGAGGATTTGATGCTCAAGAAACATTTATTATTATTATCAATGTTGAAACAGTTGTTGGTCTGTCAGTTGTACAGTTTTTTTTTTTTTTTTTAGGATTCTTTGATTAATAGGGTTAGGGTTGGAATCTTTTGTAACATTATAAATGTCTTTACTGTCACTTTCGATCAAATTAATTATTCCTTGATAAATAAAAGTATTGATTTCTTTCCTCCAAAAAATAAAAATAAAATTCTCACTGACCCCAAACTTTTGAACGGTAGTGTATATATATATATGTGTGTGTGTGTGTGTGTGTGTGTATACATATTTATTTATTTATATATATATATTGTCCTTGCATTCTTTCTTGTGTGACACCACTGAATGAAAGGCTCATTAGTATGCAGTCTGCTCAGGTGAGAACTGCCTAATTATTCATGAGGGGGTTGGGCCGTTCCGCCCATCCGCATATTGCCTTTGCAAACAAAAAAATGTTTTTCACAATTTAAAACAATCTATTGTTTTATGTGAATGATTAGGCAGAATGATTTTCAGATCAATTCGAAGCAAAAACTCTAGGCAACAACATCCACTAGTCAAAAGTCTTGTGGACAGATATTTAGTATGTTATTTGTGGCCTTATATTAGAAACTTTATTTTTTAGTTTTTTCAATAACCACGCATAAACAATATTCTCTCAACAATACAAACATGTATTAACATGTTGTTCACATATTATGGTAGCCCTGTGTGTGCTATATAGAGTGTAATTTCACCTGTGCCATTAATATGTTTATAAGCAACTGAAAAAAGCAGAAATGTCAGAGCATACCAAAACATCTCAAGGACCCTGAAAACACCTCAGACCCCAGAGGGTTAATACTGTGGCTTTTGGTAAATGACATAGATTGTGTTAAATTAGTGATGACAGACTAACTCTCCTCCTGTCTCTGGCCGTGTTTCCCATGTCTTACCAGAGCTCTACGGCTTACCTCGCTTGTACAGTCCTTTTTTGTGTGTACTGTAATCTTTCTTCCATATAATTGCTGGATTCTGTAAAGGTGCTGTGCTTTCTCTCGCTTTGCCAGAAATAGGATTTATGCTCCAAATTAAACCCTGGGGCTAAACCGTTACTGCTATTAGCTTTAATAGCTAAACATGACTTACATTTATTGGCTTTGACTGGTAGCTTAGCAGCACCCATGCTAATTAAACCCGCCGGCCTGCGATTACGCAGCGTGTTTTGGAGACACAGGTGACTCATCTGTCCCGCTCCAGCTCCCAGCATTGGGGTTTTAATCGATGTCACCCTGCACATGCTTTGGCGGGATAACAAAGTGTTTTTGCTGAGCGGGGACAGACTTAGAAACAGATACTATCTAACACAAAGCTACACACCAATGGTGTCAGTATTGACCCCCGAAAGACCCACAATGCATTGACTGTGTCCAAGTTGCCACAGCAACGAGCATACAAGAGACATTTGGACGGACCTTCATATCAGGTAGCGCGTCTGTATTTAATAGAGCTATCTGGAAACGCTCTAAACCCATACTGAAAGCAATATTAAGGTCATAAATTGAAGCAGCAAAATCGTAGATGAGTTTCTGTTTCCAATGCCAACAAAAAATAAAACTAAAGAATATATTTTGTTGTTGTTTAGCTGGAGAAATGTGTCAAAATCTAGCAAGAAGGAACCGATGAAAAGACTTGTTGCAGAAGTGGGAGGCCAATACAACAAAATATGTAGCAAATCATTGACTGATCTGAACTCACAGATTTTATTCTTTAAATACTTGTCTAAATGCATTTCAGAGATCTTAAAGTCAACAGTAATGGTGTCCCCAACACATTTACTTCCATAATGTGACACATTGCAGCGAATGAACAAGAACACTAATGGGTTTTTTTCTTCCATTTAAATCATGTACTCTTAGGAATGGATTTAGCTTTAGCCTTTGCACTGAGTCCAAAGTTAACGGCAGCAGAATGAGCACAGGTTGGGCTCAAGGCCAAACCTACTTCATCTATGTAATCGCTGGTGTAAAGCGGGAGGACTACAGACATTTTCCTGTTGGCTGCCAAATGAAATGAGGCAAAGAGAAGTAGGACAGAAGGAGCTGAATCTCAAAGATCCACGACACCTGGCCTGGCACTGATTAGGACCGCACCGCAGATGGGTCACACAACGCGTGACTTCACTGGCTCTTTCAAAACAATGAGGCTTAACGTGCATCAGACAGTCCACAGATTCAAACCATGACTGGAGGGTGGTTTTAAATCTGATTTCTAAGAGAATCTCAAAATCAACGTAGGAACAGACTGAAATGAGTCAACCCTATATTATACTTCATTCACAGATGTTGTACAGTACGTATTTAAGATATATAAATAATATATGATAAAGTATTTTATCCTAACAATGCCTAAGTATTTTATGAAGCATTGTTAGGAGTGATCTCAGACAGGTAGGACTGATTTCTTTGCACTAAAACATGAGGTACATGAGTGGGATGTCTCTGTATGTAAAAAAAAAAAACATAAGGACACTCTTGTAATATTAAGGGGTATTTCCAAATATATCATAATGAATGGGTGTTAGAAGGAGAACATGTCTATGACAAAATACGCCATGCACACCTGAGCTCTTGAAGTGGTCCGGGCTTGGGTGGTGCTGGGAGGGTGAGTTGCAGGTGGAGGTGACGTGCTCACTTTGCAGCATCTGACCCGTATGGGGCCCCAAGGTGGCATAGTCGGCAAAGGAGCAGGGAGCGGGCCGCTGGTCACCGGGGCCAGAATAAAAGCCGTAATCGGGGAACCCTAGGAAATACATAGAGGAGATGAGACGCGGCCATTGATGCACATGACACTATATGATACAAAAAAAGATGAATGACTGACAGGTGACGACATGAGGCTGAATGATGCCCACATACACTCAATTTGTTAGTAGTTACACAGCATGATGCCCACTAAACCAAAGATGCTAGCAAAGATCTTAAGAGATACCTATGAGTGAACACATTAGATATGGTGGATAGGATACAGTGAGAAATAAAACGCTGTCACATTCAGCGTGTGGTTCAACAAACTATCATTGATGTTTATTGGCCATAAACATAAAAAAAGTATGTTAAACCTTAACAGACACACTTTTCATCAGGATGGCAGATTATGAACGCCTCAGAGGACATTATTTGATGGCTCTAGCTAACATTTATAGCTGGTCTCTTTAATCCTATGTGCGGGTTTGATATACAGAGACCATGAAATGTCATCATTGGCCTTCTAAAAAGAGCAAGATGATCCAATCAAAGAAAGCCAGGATCCACCGCACAGGCTTTTACATCTTGCGTCTCCCCTGCCGCATGTTTGCTTTTCATTGGGGTCTGGGACCTGCAGGAGCGTCCTGGAGTAGTGCCGAACATCACAGAGCTGATTATGCCCTCAACAGCTGCCAAAAGTAATCTGAATCTCTAAGTAGCTTCTCTTTCATCAGCTTCGCAACTTTCCCTCACCGTCCGCGGTTTGTGGGCAAAACGCCTGCCTGTCAAATTACACTCAAGTGTTGAGGAATGGCACAACTCCAACACCGCCTGCTTTCTGGAAATCATGACTTGAGGAATCACAGAAATGTGCCGCTGTAATGATCCCAATTACATCTCTGTATAAACTCGAGCTTCATGTGTACTCATACAAAAACACATATATGTATATAGCCCAGACAGACTTGTGGGTTCTTTTTTTACCCCGATTTTTTCTCAAACTGTTGAATTGAAAGCTTAAACACATTTAAGGAACCGTTTGCCCAAACCTGTAAAATTCAGAAAATTCTGCCATCATTTATTCATGTCATTCCAAATCTATACGATTTTCTTTCTTCTGAGCAACACGAAAGTTTTTAGTTTTTTTGTCCATAGAATGAGGGTCAGTAGGGTCCTATGTTGTTTGTGACCCAATTGAAAAAAACAACAACAAATATATTCTCAAATTATCTTTTATCATACTGGTTTGAAATGAGAGTAAGTAAATTATAACAGAATTTTCTTTTTAGGCTGAACCATTCATTTAAACGAAGCTGAGAGCATTCTTATAGGCAGTTAAAACCAATGTGTTCAACATTATGAATGCCCACCAATCCAATTCTACAGAAATCTGTGGAGCTTCCTATGGAGTTCTGTGTGGGACACACTGGGGCTGTTCCAGGTCAACACTAGGCATCCTGGGTCTTTAATGAGTCTTTTAGATCGTTCTCTCCCCACCCTGCACTGTTATTCAGGACTAAACCGACTTTCACGCTCGATCTCAACTACGAAAAAACATCAACAACAACAACAAAAACCCCAGCAAAACAAAGGCCAGAGACACCCTTTCTTTTGGTAATCCATTTTTTCGACGTGCATTCTAATCGCCAGTTGTCCTTGAATTTTAAAGTGGGTTTTCTGCTCCCCGCTAATTAGACAAGCTTCCACTGCCTCTTCTGCACTCTCTAATTAGATCTTTAACAACAAACAAGAGTCAACCTCTACACAGACTCCTCCATTTGTTAAACGGCTGAGCAGGGCGCAGGTTAGCGAACGCGCAACATCCCCCCCTCCCGCACTGTCTTTGCGGAACCGTGCCGGCACGCATTCCAAGAGTCGCACATTGCCAGGACACCACAATGGCGGCTTCCTGTTCCATCTGCCTAATTCTGCCGATTACAGGATACTGGGAGAGGCAGTACACAAAGCCGACATTCACACACACAACGGATGTACACAGCTGCTTTGTTTATGCTGACACGGACAATTAGCCCTCAGCTGCACAAGGCGCTCAGTCAGGAAGGTCTTATCTAATAAAGGCAGGGAAAATTACCTTTATTGTTCAGGTAGATTGCCTCTAATGATAGTGCCATCAGTGTAAAAGGATATGAATAAAATGAGTCTGAAAAGAGCTCTTCAGTTGGATGGCAAGACAGCAGAAGCAGCCATCTGGGAGCGAGCCGTTGCCTGATTATCTTCCTCTGCTCATTTTCTTTTCAGAGCATACAAATGATTTACTTTTACTTAAGCAAAGGTGAGAAACAGAGAGGGATCGGGCAAAGTTGCTCTGACATCAAAGTTAGAGAAATAATAGCTCTCCTCTGATCTTTCTAAAACAACACATGTTCTCTTGCAGCATGTTCAAGAGGCAGCGTGCATCACCTCGGGAGGTCGCGGCGATGTGGGTGTCTGCCACAGAAATGTGTTTAGTCTGTGCACCACAATATGTGTGCGCGAATTAATGGTTTGCTAATGAACACCAATGGAATGCTGTTTTAGTTGTACGGACATCTGGTGTAGCGCTTCATCAATAACACAATTTCCGGCACATCACCAGAGCTTTTGATAATTCAGCTGGCAGCGCGCTAGAGCTGTACATCTCTGTTTCTGGGTTTAACTGCAGTCTGGACATACGAGTTAATGAGAACACCAATGTCACTGCATGTGCCACAAATTTACATTCTGATGTTTTTTAAGAAAAAAAAACAGCCCTAAAAAGAAAGCAGCCCTATCTTTAGGGTCTTTATTTATTTAAATTAAAAATTTGAAAGCAGGGTTCAAATCAAATCAGTTTTGAAACCATCTCTACATGACCAGGATCAATTTTATTTGTTCAACTTGTACATGAAAACAGGGCCTGATGGGGCCCTTGCAGAGTTGACATCCCATAATGGGTTTTGTTGACATTTCCAAAATGAAATTTCCCAGTCATTTTAAAATTACAAACCAGTCAGTAATGTCTTACCATGTGTGCAATTTTTTTTTAGCAAAACTCTATCGCTTTCAATTACCATTGCAAATTTTTGATCATAAAGGAAACTTGACTAATGAAAACGCAATGTTAATGTGTAATAAAAAATACAAATTATAATCAAATAAAAAAAACAATACTGTGTAATTAAAAAATAATTAAATATAAAACAATAAAATAGATTACGCATACATTTTTAAATACTTAGCTTTTAATTGTTATATACACACAGTCACACTTATATTTACTTATAAATGGGAGAAAGTGTAACGTGCAATATGGCGAAATAAGTCCCACTTCTAAAGAAAAGTGTCAATCGCCGCCATTGCAGCAGCCGTTAGAAGCTCAGGTTCCTCGCGTTTAGTACTGTGCATGAGCATTACCTTGGTCCAGCCTGAAAAAAAGTGGGCTTTTTGTCATGATTCGAGCATTTAGAAAAATAATTATGAGACAGTTGTTGTCAGATTTCATTGGTGATTTCAAATATGCAATTTAAGCTTGGCAAACAGTTTTGGAGAATTTGAAGTTTCCCCAGGAGCTGCACTTGCTTGCCCGAGATGTGTTTCAAAGATGGCCGCCGAGTGAAATGACTTGTCTTAAAGGGACTTTGACCATAAGCAGGAGAGTGAGTGCAGTGTGGAAGCAGGTGAAACTCTCAGGTGTGAACTGCTGAAGACTTCGACTCCGCTCCTAGTTACAAGTATCACTGTCCATCTTATCTTCAGCCCAATTATTAATATTCCAGCTATCAGTGTGAAACAAAAGACCCCTTCTTCAATTTGTTTCTCTTTTTTTCACTCTCTCAGTAGTCTAATTGGATGTAATTACTCATCTGCAAAGCAAATGAGTGGGTCGGCGTTGCCGTGGCGACCAGATCAGCGGGCCCAGCAGTGCGAATCGTTCGCCGAGCCTCATTTCTGACGATAATTACCCCTCTCCCCTCACTTTCACTCTCACCAGCTCTCTCCTGAACAACAGAAAGACCTGTTACGAAGTTATAACTCAAGTCATCGCTTGTTTCCTTTCTCCCTCTCTCTCCCAGCTTGCAGCCAACAGTGGGGCAGCTCTCTCTGAGTGGATAACGGCTCTCCTCGTTTCCACTTTACCAGATCACAGAAGTGACCTCAAACTGCCTCTCTCTCTCACTAACACACACACACGTCAAACAGTCTAAGAGCTTTCGATCACATTCACAGTAAAACATAGGCTAGTGTCTGTCCTCCGCCACTTACATGGCTGAGCTGGTTAAGAGTGCATCAGTGAACAAGTGTGTGATTATCCACACACACACTCAAATCCCTGGTGGCCATTCGAACAAGCCACTTGATGGCGGATGTCAGTTAGTCTGTCATATTGGCCCCCAAATTAGCTTTGAATTTCAGAGCAGCTGTAATTAGCCTCTTCATTTCCACCTAAGTCAATTTAGAAAGGGGAAAAAAAACCACATGTGCCTGGATTTAGCTTTCACTTTCCATTCAAAACAGTCCTTTTTGACCGAACGTCTGGCTAATTAACATCACTAGACCCCCTTTTCCGTAAGTGCCGACATTTAATAAATAATACATATTTAATGTCTTGTCATTTTGGTGCTCAGAAAGGCTTTGCTAATGAATTTTAACACATGATTTATTCAGCCATTTTCTGGCATACTCTCAGGTCTCTATTCGTGCTTTTCTCTGGTTGAATGACAAAGTAACCTCAGAAATTCAGGACGTTATATCTAAATTAGTGACGGCTCAGTTACAAAGCTTTTGACACTGAGAGTTATGATTTGTAGATGAACACAGCAGAAAGACACCCATCATGCTCCTTTTTTTTGGTGACAGATTCTGAAGTCTTCTTCCTGGTCGGACTGAAATGAAACTTGAGTCATCTAGAGCTGAGTTTTTATGTGTTTTTGTGTCCTCTTAAAGCATCCTAAAGCAACCCCACCCCCCTCCGTTTATGTTAAATCATTTTAAAAAGAAATATGACATTTTACAGATAAAAATAAATACTAATAAACTTTTTTTTTAAATGTAAATGTATTACACTGTATGTATATTTAAAAAATAAATTAATTTTAGAATAAATAGTAAATTATACAGATAAAATAAACAAATATAATATACAATACATTTAAATCAATTTAAAATAAATATTACATTGTGTAGAAATGTGTTTACATGTTTACAAAATAAATATAAAATACAAGTAAAACTATACATTTCAAATTATAAATGTAAATATTATACAACTAGAATTTTTTTTAATGAATTCAATAATAAAAATAAAATAAATGTATACTTTTCTCTATTGGGGACAGCAAAGAGCAGAAAGATCTGGTACTACTACTCTTTGTACCACTGTAGCAAGGTAACAACAACTGCAAAGTGTCTGTGTGCCATGAACATAGGTGCAACTAACAAAATGCAAACTCAAAATAAAATAAAAAACCTGATGATAAAATAAAAAACCATATCAACCCCACAAACCCAACTCTGATATAAAACGGACCCTAGCTTTAATGTGAAAAAAAACCCCAAAAAACAGTGGCTTCAGCTTTGCGGATCTTAGCAGAGAGTCCCATCTCATCTTTTCTATGGGGATTTAAATCACATTCAGTCCAGCAGGAGCTAATGCAGTGGGGAACTACAGCCTGTAGTTTAATCTCACCTCTTATACAGGAGCCAAACCCGCAGTCTGCAGAGATGCTTTTCAAGGCTCACAGAGCTTGTTGGGATGAAATGGATAATGATCTTGGATAATGTGAGGTATTTTGCCAAACAGGAGCATCTTCATGCCCGGGCAGGCGGCCCACTGCAGCAGAGCAGAACGTAAAACAACATCTCATCTGCTCCCTCAAATACAAACTTGCATATCTATCTATTAATAATAACGAATGGACCTCAACCCATTCGGCATTTCGTTTAACAGTACTGATAGTTCTGTGGAAAAAAAGAAAAAAAACGACAGCAGCAGAATCCGTAGGACACAGGGGTTAAATGCAGCAACCGCTGGCCATTGAAAAAACCCTGACACAGTACTGCTTATTCAAGAGAACATGGCTCAACACTGCACACTCCCACAATACACCAGGGCACAGGAAACTGCCTCCACTGCACTCCATCTGCTGAGCAAACTCATCACTTTCCACTGATCTGTTAGTGTCTTACGACAACTACCATCTCGCTGGGGAAAGAGGAGATAAAGACAGGGGGAGAGATGGAAATAGAAGATGGGGGGATGAAAAGGTGAGAAAAGAAAAGCTGCACATGATGAGGTGAACCAAAAAGAGAGAAAGACACACACAAGTTCTTTCTGCCTTAATGATTAGGAAAGGGGCGATCCGCATACGGCAACCTCTAGAAAAACAACAAGCATCCCATGATCCTCCACCTAGAGACCACTGCATTGCTCTGAAAGGGACAGAGAGATCCAGGGGGAGATGTCTCAGCAAAGCAGGAAAGGACGAGGCACATCAGTTGGAGACACGCCAGCAGTGTCTTGCACCAGGGAAATCGGCCTCCAGAAAGCTGTGTGCCCTGCGGAGCCAACCGTCTCTGCAGTCTGTCAGGTCCAGGGAGACAAACCTTAACCTGAATCTCTGAAACAATCTCTTTAACAGGAAACAGCAGTGAAACACTGCAGAATTTAGATGAGGGATTGAATGCGTTCGTGAAAGCAATTCTCCAAGACAATTTCCTCTTAAGTGCAGTTCTTCTAGGCCAATAAACTCCAACTGAAAGGAGAACAATGGTGTGTTATCAAGTATACAAATCTCTGAGATGTTAAGTCTGTAAGCTGTGGTATCTAGTTTTCATGTTAATGTTTGAACCCCAGACTTACATCAACATTCTCCAGTGCTCTGAACCCTACTGAGAGTAGCTGCAGCGTTGCCCTGGTGTCGTGTTGTGAACAGGTCAAGCGTTTTAACATGATGTTCAAATTCAACATTTAAACTTTGACCACATCTGACCTTTAGAAGCGCATCCAATGATTATCTGACAATTTGCATGACGCAGCATTACATATTATATGGGATGACTGCGCAACAATCAAAACAAGATCATGTGTCTTCATACATCACCTTGTATGACGAAAAGTTGGAGGCATACTGTATCTTGACATTCAAAGAAAAAAAAAAAAGTCATATGCTACACCTCTTTCATTTGTTTCAAAATTGACACTTCCCATAATGCTTTTAATGTGTAGGTCACAGCAACACACTAAGAGCAGAGCTGGGCAAAATTCTGAATTGACTCCCTTTCAGTTCATGTGTGTGAATTTGAACTGAATTGGCCACAAGACAGAAAGTTGAAATGGTGTGACAGGTATAGGAAAAATTGTAATTCCATCCATCCATCAACCTTCAATCATGGCTTTTTATACTTTTTTCAAAACTTTCAAATAAGGCTGTAAAGGCAACATTTAAAGCTTTTCTAGTTAACATAAAACATTTAAATGAATTTCTTTGAATTGAAATCATTTGAATTTCACTTCCTTGTATTTAAATTCCCTATTCTTTTAAACCTGTGTACACTACTTTAAACCATCAACTGAGTCCAGAGTCATTCACAACCAGAGGACACTCCTAAAACAAACATTTCCCACACACCGTAAAGTTCATGTTCAAGACATTGGATCTGATCTCAGCTGCACTCTCTTAATGATTGGCATTAACCCTGGATAGACTGCAAAGCACAGAAATGTCTGTGGCCACTCATAGCAGAGATTTTAGTCTTTGGATGGAGTAAGTAAGTGAAATGACAGACGGATTAGGGCACATGATGAGTGGACGGAGATAGACAGGACACAGAATCTCTAGTGAAGAGTGTGTTTTCGGCTGGGGGAGCAGTAGCCACTCAGAACACAGGGGGTAAAGAGTGTTTACCTGGCCCTGCGTTCTGTGGGTACGCCATGTAGCTGCTTCTTCCCGGGGTCGCCCTACCTGAGCCTCGTGCCGCCGCCACTGCTGCCGCTGCCACGGGTCCGTACGTCGTCGCAGGGAAACCTGCTGAGAGAAGACAATTATTTACTAGTGCTCTTCATCTCAATCAAATTTACAGCCACATGAATGCAGCAGAGCTTCAAGGAACAACTCCATTCACACTAATGCAACACACACGGGGGATGATGCTACATCATCGTTCAAATAATTATATATAAATCAAAAGAACTCAAATATAATTGTTTAGAGTGGAGCTAGCAGGACTGATCTACAGCCCCTTTCATTTTTTGGCAGCAGTTTAATTACAGACAGCACAGGAACACGCTGCTCATAGAAGGACCATCAGCTATTTCTTTCGCACACAGGCTGGGAAAAATGCAATATATTAAAGTTTATTTGCACTCACTTTCGACTGCTTCAGAAGCTTTCACAATAACACTCTAATTTGATGCGAGCAGCACAGAATTATGGGCATTTATAAAAACGGTTACACCACTGGGAGGACAAATGTACTTGTTTGCCTGAACGCCACTAGAGGATATAGAAACCGTATGATTTAACACACGGCGACAGCGCCTGTCCACCCTCATGTGTTGGCCGAGTTGACTGAGATGCATCAGTGCTCAATCCATCAGTGTGATCATTTGTATGGTGGACATGGAGTGTGAGCGGACAGAGCAGAGAGCAGAGAATTGTAGGATGAATTGCTTGCATCGGAGTGCCTATTATCTCACTGAGAAGCATCAGATGACATGTGGTCCTCTTTAAGGTCCATAATGGTAGGTACTAATGACTGTGTGAGACCCAAGTGTGTGTGTCCATACAGCTCATCTAAATGTGCTTCTTGGGAGTTGAAAATATGGGGAAAAAAACCCAATCATCAGCCGTCTGATTTCTACTCAACTTAATACTGAACAACTAGGCAAATTCTATTAAATGACAATGTGATTCACAGCATGCAATTTGTTTGTGGTAAACCAAGACTGCTAAAGAATCTACATATTTAATGACAGTCGTGAGTTCAGTGTTCAAACAAAGTAATCAAACATAATCATCATCATTGTTGAAGCCAACTAAATAAGACCAACAGGCCAGAGTATCTACAGCTCTATTATTTCATAACAAACGTAATTATAGTCCTAGCACTTTAATGAAGGCGTGTATCTGCGTCTGACAGCTGCTAATCAGAGCAGTGAAAACTTGCAGGGGGTCAAAAGCCCATCTACAGCATGTCATTACACTAGACTGTAACTCAAAACTCTGAAGGTGGAGTAGCTTAATAGGTAAAGATTTGAGATTGGCAACCCAATAATTCTGAGTTCAAAACCAAGATGGGGGGATCCATTATCTATCACCTTCTGGTTACTCTAGAGGGACTGTTCCTATATTAGATAATTTACACACCTGATCTGAATTTGTCGTAAAAAGCTGTGACTGTCAAAAGCATTGTGCATCAAAACAAAGATTTTACAAAAAAAAGAAAGAACCCATGTTTTTAAAATGTGCCATTCAGCCACTCAAATAAAATAAATAAATAAAAAACTGAAAATTTGCCATATGGCTACTTAGAGAGACTACCGGTACTAAGAGAATGAAAAATGTATAAAATTAAGACTTTTTTTTGTCATATGGCTACTGAATAAAAAAGGAAAGATAAATGAAGAAAACTAAAAATATATAAAATAATTAAAATAGAGAAACATTTCAATATGGCCACTAAAAGTAAATGAAAAAAAGAAGAAAAAAAAAAACAACTGAAAAAAGAAATCATAATGTAAAAGAAACATACTGACGTGTATAATAAATTAGTTTGTGGAGCACAAAGAAAGAAAAAAGACAATTAAAAGAAAAGTACAAATAAACAGGTCCAGATTAAGGATGGTTACAGATAATCAAACCTCTGTGGTCTCTCTGGTTTGAATTACGCATGTCATTTCCTGTTTCTTTCCTCAGCTCGTTAATCTCTTCACAAAACACAAATCAGTATGCTAATGCTAATGCTAATGAAGGTCACGCGTCCCTGCTTCTCTTTAGCGCTGCTCGCTGTTGCCGAGCACAAGTGTCCTTCACCAAAGTGTCACAAGTCATTCGTGCTGCTTTTCCCCCCTTGCCTCTTTTCTCTGCACAACATCTTCTGTCCCCCAGTGGCCTCTCTCCCTGTGCCAAAGTTAGCACTGGAACAAAGTTCTTGCGAGAGATTAACTTTGGCGGATTAGGTGGGTTAATTATTAGATCTTGGAGGCTCATTGTTTTGTGTTTCCGTCGTGAGAGGCTGCTCGAGAGAGGCGCTGCAGCATTAAATCAATTTCATGGGCTTTTCATTACAGACGAGATAACGCCAACATTTAGCATTCAGTTTTATAGCGTTATTTGAATCTGCTCAAGTGAATGGGCTGATGGGAGGGAAAAACCCTGCTGAGAGGGCACAAGGACACAGTGCTCTCCCTGCTTCTGTCAGAACCCCATGGGCACCGCAAAACCGCACACATGAACCCCGAGGGAGTGTAGAAAGGGTCTACGACACTGAATCTTCTTGGCTCTGTGATGAAAGAGAGAGGAAGAGGGACTTTTACAGGATTCAACATTTCTTCCACTTCCTGTCTGAGGCACATTGATGAACATTGATGACGGGTTCAATTCAAAAATCAAAAACAAAAATTCACAAATCTATTTCTTTTACAATTAAGCAGTGGTCTAATTTTAATGGATGGTACACAGAGAGAAAGATGATCTTTTGATCAGACTAGGGCTACCCTGCTTTAGGAAACAGCTGCTGAAAGGAGCCACACGTCCTGAAATCAGGCTATAAATAAATCTGATGTAAGCCCACACACACACGGCTTGTGTCCTATCAAGCAACACAGAGCTGTGAAATTACAAAATCTGTGCCTTCATCTTTCCTTCATTGCCCACTTTGAAAGGAAAATAAAAACAATGAAAGATGCCATAATAAGAGCTGGGGAAGGCAACAGCCTCGGCTCTCTTTTCATCTGTGCTGCTAGTGACCTGTTGTTGCTGTCCATCAAAAACCAAAAAAAAGATACATCGTTTGTAGTTTTGCGAAAGCTTTTCATGCCATATCAAAGGTGGAATCTTGGCAGCTTCTGGCACAGGTGGTGTCTATATGAAGAACACATCACGCATACATATAAACATTTCTTTGCTTCCTACACAACAATATAAACATACAGGACAGTCATTATAAATGGGTTTTTGTGCACAGGTTTCAAAACTGAGATTGCTTTTCATACGTGAAAGATTTTGCCCAAAATGAAACCATTTACAATGCTGGATCTTCATCATGAGAGTCTTCTGACTTTGATTAGGGGACAAAAAGTCATTTTGCCTGGCAGATTAAAGGGCTCGATCTTTTTTTAGCCCTTTCATACTCCATTAAACTTAACGATGAAGGGGGGAGTAGAAATCTCCAGAAAGATCCCTGGACGTCACGTAACCCGCAAACGCCCGCCAGGTGCATGCTTCACCCCACACCGTAATGAGAGATGATATTACGGGCAGGAGGACAACCGTGACTGCGCAACTCCAACAAGAGTACGATATCATCTCACTGAACATTAGTTTGGTTTTGGACACATATGGGCCGTGAATCACGTGTGTAAGTGTGTGTGTAATGGAGAGAAGTATAGTTACACCACCATAGCACCGCTCTGAAGCAGATGTCCCGGAGACGACGCACGTTTCCTACCGCTCATCTAATCATAAAACAAAACCATATCTCCGCATTCTTCGACAGATCGGGCCCTTGTGTGCCAGAACGCGACCAAGCAGGTCGAATTTTGTTGTCGAAAATAAATCATTCTCTGCCCAGGCACAAAAGAGCTGAAGCGCTTGGCCTGTTTCTAATGGAAGAGTTTCCAGGATGATCGGTTCTGCCGACCTTAGGTGAAGAATGTGTGTCAAGTATAGCTAAGTCTACTTTCCATGAAAAAACATGAGAAATGTCACAAAAAATTCAATGAAATATTGTAGGGATTGTGGGTGACAGGTGTCAGCGGTGATCCACTGAGAACTCGAGGAGCTCAGGGCATCAGCAGGAAGGACTCCACTCTCTTAACAAGCAGTCTGACATGTTAGCTAGAAGCACTTAGTAATAATTAGCAAGGCCACCTCATTATTACCCAAGTAAACACTTCTAATTTGTTATGCATTTTAATGGCCTTCACCAAACACTTAAGAAACATCTTTAGGCATTTAAAAAAAATAAAAATAATCAACTCCTCAAGACAGCTCGCAAATAACCAGAAGACACTTACTGCTAACACAGCAGAGCTTGGTATAAAGATGTGTGGGTTCTTTGAACAGCTTTTCTGATCATCTAAGATGATCTAAATATATAATAATTATATATATGGTAAAGATATGGTAAATTACTACAATAACTGAATAAAATTAGACAAAGGTCCATATTTCTTTCTTTTTATGTGCCATACAAAACAACTAAAATAGTGTGTTACATCTGTAAGTGTGGGTGTGCAAGAAACACAAACCCTAAACTCAAAATTCAAAGCACAGTTGAGATGATATAAAGAGACAGAGCATTAAAAAAAGAATAAGGGCACAACGGCTCTCCAAAAGTCTTCTCACAGATGGTTGATTTCCATAATGACAGCAGAGACAGAGATCACTGAGTTTGTCAGAGCCTCATTCATGATCTCAGACGGACTCAGATTGACTTGTGTGAGAGAGAATTACTGACTTTAAAGGTGCTTTCACATCAGAGCGTTTGTTTCGGAGTCTGGTGCGTATTCTTCTTTGGCTCGGTTTGTTTAGGTATATGTGAACAAGGCAATCGCTCTCAGATCCGCAGCAAAACAATCGCTCCGAGACCGCCTGAACGAGGTGGTCTCGGCCCGATTGCAAACGAACTCTGGGGCGGTTTGCTTGAGGTGTGAAAGTAATCCGACCCAACGAACCAAATGGTATTATAATTCATAACAGGAAATGTGCTATATAAATAGCAGCAGTATCTGATCCTTTGAGTGAGCACATTAGTTATCACAGTTGAAAACCAAGAGAGCACCTCTTCATCTTAAAATGTTGTGTAATTGCGCTTCTCTGTGTGAGAATGCTGTCCCAATGAAGCCTTGATTCCTGCTCTAGCTGCATTATAACATTCGTATAGTGTTTGCGTGTGTCTTGACACTGTTAACCTCTAGACAGCGCTGGGAGATCCAGAGAGAGCGCGTTTGAATTTGCTGCAGTATTAATAATAATGTAGTATAGAATTTAACAGCGGGAATGACGGCTACATTCGTATAGTCTTTGCGTGTGTCTCGACAGTTACAAATAAAGCCATAATAAGCTCATGGAGTGAACTTGTCAATCATCTTGATGGATGACGCAGAGGAAACGCTGATCAATAAGAGGACAGTTGTACTTGCATGTGCTTCCGTGAACATTTTGGTACGCTTTGAAAGGTTGCCTTGTGAAAGTGAACCGGACCAAGAAGAAAATGCGACATTATAACAAATTAAGTACCCGTTTCGAAAAAAAAGAAGAAGAAAAAAATCTATAGGAGTGAAAACGCCCTCTGTATGTGTGTGTGCCACTGCTGTCCTGTTTCATGGTTCATTTCTAGTTTTAGTACAAAAAAAACAGAGAAAGAGACAGATGTTGGTGTAGTGTGATTTTATGGGATTTCGATGTCAGGTGCCGTCACATAAAGATGAGTAACTGTGCAAGAGTTTGAGGCTCACCACAGATCAGAGCACACTTGTGTGCGAGTGAATGTGTGTGTGTTTGTGTGAAAAAGAATGTCAGCTTGTGTGTACGTGTATCCTTTTATGCATCAGGATGAGTCAACCCAGTCAAATATAATTTATAACTATTCTGAATATAAATACAAGGCTCTGTTAGAAAGAAAACAATAAGTGCCTCATAAAACCCTCTACATACACCTCTCTGTTATGTTTTTCTGTGATGCCCTCATTAATAAAACTGGGGCGGCAGTGGCTCAATGGTTCATGTAGGTTGTCTACCAGAAGGTTGGTGGTTCAATCCCCGGTTCCACCTGACCAAGTGTCGAGGTGTCCATGAGCAAGACACCTAACCCCAGCTGCTCCCGACGAGCTGGGTGGCGCCGTATGAATGAGTGAGTGAATGTGAGGGAAATTGTAAAGCGCTTTGGTGGCCATTGGGTCTGTGAAAGCGCTATATAAATGCAATCCATTTACCATAAAAAATACAAAAACGAAGTAAAAAAAAGCTTATTCCCCCCCCCCTATAACTAAAATAGAAATAAAAAAATTCAATCTGCAACAGATTGAAAAGTGAAAACTACAACTACACATGTGCTCTACAATATGAACAAACATGTTGGGAAAAGACCAGCGTCCATCAAAACATCCATCACACCCTCAGAAGAAAAACCCATTAGCTCTGCTCATGATATCAACAGACAGGTGGCCATCCACAGGACATTCATATCAACACTAATATCTGCCACCAGCTGCAGAGCAATGTGCTCACCTTCACGCCTCTAACACACACATACAAACAGCTTTTACTCACATTGTCATACACACACTGCACACGTGCGCAAGTAACAAGCTCCCAAAATGATGCTTAATTACAGCAACAAGACAGATAGATACATGACAGACAGACAGACAGACAGACAGACAGATAGACAGATAGACAGATAGATGGAGTGGACTCACCTGGAAACTGGTAGCTATAGCTTGGAGAAAATCCTGTGTATCCACGACCGTATGTTGCCACAATGTTTGGATAACCTACAAACACACATACAGACAGAAAGAGCATCAGTGAATTTTCTGCTTTATATTTCTGCCTTGTGGGGTAAATTCATGCTTAACCCTGATCAATTGGACATGTCTGGAAGAGGGTGTGTATATGTAAGACTGTCATAAGAGCAACTGCACTTGAAAAGGAGGATAAATATCACAACAGTATGTTTTCAAGCACATGAGCACTTTAAATGAAGAGGCAACTTCAGGGAATTTCATTGCCATCTGTTTTTCTCTGATGCTACTCTGCTGAGAGAGAGAGAGAGAGAGAGAGAGAGAGAGAGAGAGAGAGAGAGAGAGAGAGAGAGAGAGAGAGAGAGAGAGAGAGAGAGAGAGAGAGAGAGAGAGAGAGAGAGAGAGAGAGAGAGAGAGAGAGAGAGAGAGATACTGATGTACGTTATAGTTGGCCTTATTTTCTCATGTTTTCTCTTTGAAATTTACATGCTGTATTAATTTAATATTTTTCCCAAAACAAGAAATGTGAAACAGCAGTCACTACTGCTCGGTAATAAATCACGACACACAGATGTCAGAAATCACTCCAAACACACCTTCGTGCAGAGCTGGCATATGTGCACTTATGATTTCCCGAACCTGTCATGAGTCGCTCAATATCAGTTGACAGCAATGAAAACACTTTTGACAGCTCTCACAGAATACACTGCTAAAAAAAGGGTTCTTCCAGAGAGGATGTGCTCACACACATGGGAAATACACGACTCCAGGAGCTACCACAACATCTCTCCCACCCTGCAGCAGTGCGATGTGTGTTTGTGCGTGATGCGTCTAAAAAAAGTTTTATTCTTGAAGAGAAGAGGAAAAATAAGACAAGATGAGAACAATCAATAGAAAAGAGGTACGAAGAGACAAAATGAGGTGAGCTGAGACAAGAAGGGATAAAGAAGAATATAGAAAAGAGGTACGAAGAGACAAAATGAGGTGAGCTGAGACAAGAAGGGATAAAGAAGAATATACAAAAAAGATTAGAAGAGACCAAAAGAGAAAGACTGAGAGAAGAGCAGAAGAGAATACATTAGACCAGATGAGAAGTGAAGTGACAAGACAAAACAAAACAAAAAACATGAGAAAAAAATGTGAACAAAAAAATAAGGCAGACCGAAGGGATGAGAACAAACCAAAAGAGAAGAAATGAAACATTAAAAAAAAGAAACAGCAGAGAAGATATTAGGAGATGAGATGAGGCAAGAATTGAAAAGAAGAGAAGAAAAAAAGACGAGGTGAGATGAGGCGAGACAAAATAAAAAAAACGAGTAAGGATGAGATGAGACAAAATAAGAAGACAAGAAGAGAAAAGACTGGAAGAGACCAAATGAGAGGAGATGAGACAAGACCAGAAGAAAAGAGGAAAGAAGGAGATAAAAATGTAGATGAGGCAAGACAAATACAAAAAAAAAATCAGAAAAAAGAAGAGTGAGATGAGAAATAAACAGAAGGGAAGAAATGAAACAAGAAAGTAACAGCAGAGAGGAAGTTAGGAGATGAGACGAGGTGAGAAGAGAAGAGATGAAAGGAGACAAGACCCAAAAAAAACATATTTTGACAAAAATGATAAGAGAACAAATGAGAAGAGACGAGGAAAAGTAGGAGACTAGATGAGAAGAGAAAACAAAAGAACAGAAGAGACAAGATTAGAGAAATAAACAAGACAAAAAGAGAAGAACTGAAACAGGATGAGAAGAGACCAAAAGAAAAGAGGCAGCAGAAGAGCTAAGCTGTCCGTATCTCTGTGCATTGTGGGTAAAAAGGCTGTGTCCTCCCCTGGCGGCTGCTATCTCAGGCTCTGATTTGCATTATTAATGTTCAGGCTAATATACCTATTTTATGGCTCAACAGCTCAGATTCACTTTAAAATCAATTATACATCTGCGGCAGCTGAAGCAGGCAGCAGCTCAAATGTGTATTAATCTCAGCAAACATACACGCGGCGCCCGACTATAAAGATAAATGACACGATTAGCAGTGGTAAACAAAAGCGTGAATGCGGCAGCTTTAATGAGATTTGGCGTATAAGAAACTTACAGTTCCTTAAATAATGAGCCCTGATCTGCAGCCTTTTTTTCATATGCAAATTGTACTAAGTTCTGTCTGGTCGTCCTGTTCTCTCCAGTTTCATTTAGATAAGACCAGAGTTAATATTTTCACTTGAGTGCTTCATGCTCTCGTGCTCTCTCTCTTTCTCTCTCACTCATTCCTCCTCTCTTCACCCTCCTCCACAGCAGTAATCCATGAAAACTTTTAGAAAGTTCACGCATTGTTCAAATTTGAGTATAAGGGATCTGTGTGTATCTCATTATTTCAGGGTTTAAATATAGAACAAAAAAAAAAAAATTTAATTAAATACAATACGGTAAAATCAAATTTTATAAAATATTACATAAATGTATGGGTTTTTTTTTAAGTTATTTAAAGCCTGTATATATTAAAAGTCTCAATATGATTATTATATATCTGTGTATCTGATCATGGCAGCAGGTTTGTATCTTCTCGTTCAGTGCCGCTGTCATTAGCGGGGGCAGAGGTCAGGCAGATGCTGCACTGAGCATCAGCCTAATTTTCCTCTTCATTTGAGCCATTAATACAGACGTTTATCTGCTCATCAGGTCTGAAGAATCCCACTGAACCTGAGCTGGACTAACCCGACACGTTCACAGACAGACATTTGTCTCAGGTCCAGCAGCCAATCAGAAGTCATCACCTTAAGCCCCACCCTCTGAGCCAGCCTTCAGTGCCCGGTGTGTGTGTGTGTGTGTGTGTGTGTGAGAGAGACTCACTCAGCATGCCCATGCCAAGCATGAAGGCGTCCATGGTGTACGGAAGACTTCTCGCCCTCCCCCTCGTGCCTGGAGGAAACATTACCTCCTTTGGTTGGGCCTTCTTACATTCTACCTGTGGACACACAGACAGACACTTAATACAAACTAAAATAAATAGCACATGCTATATAATACTAGATGATATAGCATAATTACGCATGTTGGATAAACAATGTAAATAATCCAGAACACACTTAATTTAATGCTTGATTAATTAAATAAATAATTGAATTTTTCAAAATTGCAATCAGCATTCATTCAAGGAAGTAGAGAAAATAATACCATGATGAATAAATACTTCACACAAATTAGTGTTTGGGGTCAGGAAGTAATTTATTTTTTAAGAAAGTAATACATTTATTCAGTATACTATTCAGCAAGAATGCATTAAATAAAGACAAAATAGTACTATTTTAAATAAATGTTGTTCATTTGAACTTTCTATTCATCAACACTATTTTTCTTCATTGATAATAAATTTTTTTACGCTGCAAATCAGCAGATCAGAATTATTTTTGAAGGATCACGTGACACGGAAGACTAAACATGCTGAAAATTCATATTTGTTACCACATGAATAAATTGCATTTTAAATAAATTCAAATTATTATATTTAATGCATATTAAAATGGTTATTTTAAACTGTAATATTATTTCAGAAAATTAGCGTTTTTACAGTTTTTGTTCAAATAAATGCAGCCTTGGTTCTTTTGGTAAATAAAATGTAAAATATATTTGGATGAAATATGGCTTTTCTTGGCCATGCTCTTGACAGGTTTCCTGAACTTCACCCACCTATTGTTTGGAAGCCATTGGACCGTAAATATGACGCCTAATAAATTTGAAATTTTGGAACAGAGCTCGAGTCACACTGTATCTCATGCTCTGTCAGTTTGAGCTTTGTGTACTTTACTAGCCTAACAAATAGGTATGCATTTGTGTATCCAAAGCATTTTTCAAACAACAAAACTAATGTAAAAAAGCTAACACAGCCTTTCTGATTCCGCCCTGAGATCTCCCCTGCACCCACCCCCTCATTCTCACGTTCTCGCTCTTTGATTGACATTTTAACCTCCGGAGCGGAGCACATGAGCGGACAGCAGACAGCAGTCCCTGCCTGAGAGACAGAGGAATATTCCTCCAGAGAGCTACGAGAGGGAAGACAACATGTCTATAGCAAAGGGGAGAAATAAACAAACACACAAGCAGAAAACATCAAACCCAAACAAACACACAGACGCTCGCTCTCTCTGGTGATATGAGCATAACCGGGTCAGACGAGGAAAGGCGTTCCTCCTGACAGGCCTAGCAGGCAGAAGATCCTATTTACCAAGCACATCTGCATGCTTACAGGAGTGTGAGTGTGTGTGTGTGCGTACGTGCTGACAGCGCCTCTATGGTAAGAACACGATGCATTTGCACTTGGCTGAATCTGTCCTCTGTGTTGATCGACTTGTCTGCCTGCCCAGGGCCCGTCCATCTGTGTGTGAGTGTGTGCTGCTTGGCCTTTCACAACACACACACACACACACACACTTGCAGATCATCTCCCATTGAGACTTGCACAGATGCTGCTTGGCACAGCTGGACACACACACACAACGGTTCTGCTGAAGTTCAGCTTGCTGTGCCGTCAGCGCTGCTCTGAATACATGAGATATTTCTGGATTCGGCCACTGACGGATATTTAATATTCATTAAATGAGTGAAATATTATAACATGTAAATGCATTATAATTACTACAGAATGGTGATGAGGAGGTGTTAATTTATACTAGTGTCTTGTTCAATCAATAGACACTTTCTATCTTCCATGGAAAACACAAGGTGATATTAACCGTTTCCAAACATAATGATGGGGCTGTAAACTTCAAGCACAGAATGTACATTTTCAGGTGAACTACTCCTTTAATTCAAGAGCTGAAAGAGAGAGATGTACGGATGTGTTAGTGAACGAGTGTTTTGGACAACTGTTGTACAGCATGTCAATTTCAATGGGTTTAATTCTGGATGGCAAACACTCATCTAGCCAGACATAAACCAGGAGATAAAATCATGGGCTATTATCTGCTCACACACATGCTGCTGCGGTCTAAAAAGGTTTTCTCAGACTTTTTTAACCCCAGGACCCCCTTCATAACCCCAAACATTATACCATTTTCAAAAACTCTTCAGAAAACTCTTCAGCCTGTTCCACTACATCTGTATATAAAACAGGCAGTGCAACATCAATAAGCCGTTTCATTACTACAACCATCTCTACACACACTTGTGCAGAGAGTTGCTTTCACCAGTCTCATCAATCCACTACAGTTTTTTTTAAAGTGTGTGTGGGGGAGAGAAAGACAACCATTCAAAATAATCATCTAAACTGTTCAGGATCTCAATTTATACTCAACATGTTTTGGTATTTTTCAGCATGCCTGGGTGATAAAATAGCGATTTTTTAAAATCCAAACTAAAGTTTTTATTTAGCCGAAAACCAAACTTTTTTTTATATATATATATATAATTAATGAGTTGTATATAAACTTGTACAAACATAGAACAATAAGGTAGTTTTTATATCAGCGTTTTTAATTACAGAATTAAATTTCTACTCTAATTCGTTGTTGAAATATAAACATTTATATAAACACACAGTGTATGAAATAGACATTAACCCGTTCAATACAAGGGACTACAGAAGCACTAATTAAATGTCACCGTTTTGGTCAAAGATTTTGGCCTTCTGAATTTTTGGTGCATCACTACAAAACGCCTGAATAAAATAAGCAGCACACAACGCCTCAAAATCACACATTCATAAAGACGATTTCAAAATTCAGTTGTGAAAAGAACAAAGTGAGGAAAAAGAAAGCATTTGCCCTCAAAGGAGTGAAATCTGCTTCTCTCTGTGCTATAATTGGTCAGCAGCTGCCTGAACAAAATGAACACGTCAGATAAAACTCATGCCTCATTTTCCACTGACAAAGATCATAAATGACACATTTGAGAATAAAATCTAAAAGCACTTCTCTAAAACCAGTATTTAGAGTCCATTTAGAGGCACCACTGGTTCCTTCTGATCTACCAAAACAGAAGAACAGGAATGAAGCTGTTCGATTTGACCAGTTTTCTCAATTTAAACTGTATTTTCTAGCTTCACAAAATGTCATGTTAGACTCACCAATCACCAAACAAGTCAAACTTGGCTGCTGTTGGCTAGTGTGAGAAAAAGTTTTGGACTGTATAGGAAAAAGAGAAGAACCCCCTGACGCCCTAAAGAGACAGCAGGACTAATCAGACTTGAAAAGCCTGTGAATTGATGGCGAGATCTCTGCTTCTGAGATGTGTGTGTGTGTGTGTGTGTGGGGGGGGTAGATGGACACCCGGTGAGATGTTCAGCCAGGCAAACAGGTTCACCATCATCACATGGCATGTGTGCTGCAGTAGACACGAGGAGTCTCTGGGTCAGGGAGAAGTTTGCATCTCTGTAAATAACATCTAATTATTGGAAGCTTGAGGGACTGTGGTGGTTTTGGGGTGTTTAAGGGCTGTGTGGGATTATTATATTTTGATAATATTTAATATACAGTATGAAAAACGGATATTAATTTTGAGATTTGTTAATGCACAATAAAATATCCAATACCTTCCGATAACCAATCAATTAAAAAATAAATAAATCTTGTCCGATAACCAATGATACTGATATACTGTTCATCTTTACAAATGATAGAAAATAAAAAACAATTATTTGTTTATAACCTAATTAATATTCACAAGCAAACAGCCCATCTGAGCAAATAATGCCCATGCATGTGATGGTAGAAATGTCAACCTGTAGAGATTCTGATATTTTTTAAGTTAGTTTTAATGACCCATACCCTGATTCAAGCTTTTGATCACACCGCTAGCCTCTAAGGTAGTGTACTCTGGTTCAGACCAAGAAATCAAACCAAGTGTGAAAACAGCCTCAACCTCATGTGTAGCTCCACTGGTCGGCAAAAGTGCAAAGCAAGAAAGCAATCAGGTCTCGTCATTTCCAATAAACAAACAGCCCTTTCTACCATTACAGTTATTTACCTTATATTAACGCTCTGTGCTGTTCTTATACAGTCACAGTGAATGGACGACAGGAGAGACAATCAGAACAGAAATGAAAGGTTGCGCTGCCCTCTGCACAATAGAACCACATGATGGACTATCACTGGAAAATCGATCGCATGGCTCCGCGCTCACGGATCTGTCCCTGGGCTCAGGAACAACCTGTCTGTGACGGAAGATCTTGAGGGGTTTGATCCTCTGCTCCTGATATTCTGTGCTACCCCACAGGTGTCCCATGAGCCTAGCGTACGCATGGACGGCATGCACACGACTCCTGTCAATCACAGCAGAGAGAGCAAGGGGCCGTTCCTCTGCATGTAAAACACATTCCTATCAACTCATGCTTTCTGCCCAGTCAGCCATATATTTGTACACACTTTTCTACAAAATATTTATATTACAATTTAAATTATATTTAATATTTCAAAAGTCTCCTATGCTCACTGAGGCTGCATTTATTTGATTATAAATAAAGTAAAAACAGAAATATTGCGAAATATTACAATTTAAAATAAATAGAAAGTGGTTTCTTTTTTAATATCTTTTTAATTTGAATTTATTCCTGTGATGGCAAAACTGAATTTTCAGCATCGTTCCTCCAGTCTTCAGTGTCACATGATCCTTTGGAAATCATAGGAATATCCTGATTTGGTGCTCAAAAAAAAACCTTTCTTATTGTGTGCTTAGTTGTGCTGCTTAATGTTTTTGTGGAAACCGTGATACTTATTTAGGATACTTTGAATAGAAAGTTCAAAAGTACAACATTTATTTGAAACAGAAATCTTTTTTTTTTTTTATCTTAAAGAAAGAATTTCTTTTTTAAAAAAGTCCTACTGACCCCGAACTTTTGATTGGTAGAGTATTTAAAATAACTGTTTTTACTGTTGTAACAATTTTTTTTAGTTAAATATAATATTAAATTGTTTACAAAAGATTCTCAACTAGGTTCACATATTGCATCTGGCCAAAAAGTGCCAACTTATACAGAAAGGTTTTGTCTTAAATGTAAATTTTATGTGACATTTAAGGTGGGTAAATGAACTCTGCATAGAGAGAATGAAAATACTGGATATTTAGCATTTAAAAACAAACAAACATTTGAAGCCATGAATCTGGCACACTTTGACAAATCAAGTAACTATGCAATACACATCAGATGCTGCACATACAGTCTATGGGTGGCCTATATGAGGCTGAGACTAGGGCTGAATCCGAAATCGCCCCCTAAACCCTCAATCCCTATTCCCTACATTAGTCCACTAATACAGTTCACTTAAAGAAGTGAATGAAAAAGAGGGAGCAAATTCGGACGGTTGTTGAGTGTACATTGGTGTACACTCGTTTATGCGGTGCAATGTGGGATTGAAAGAGTCCACTTAATAACGTCCACTATGGTTTCGGACACCACTACAAATGGATGTCCCCTCGAATAATGCCCAATATGAGGGTATGGGGGGCGATTTCGGATTCAGCCCAGGTCTTTTCCCACCTGATTCCAAGAAGAAACATTTATTTGCAAGCTGAAAGTTAACATTGGCACAGCAGTCCCGTGTGCTGGTTCTGCCCAATAATGGGGGGCCTGTGGGGTGATAATCCTTATTTAATGAACTCAACGGGTGCGTTTCAATCAGCTCCCTAGCTCCCTAGGTCGAGAATCAGTATATCGTATACACGATTTCATGCACCGGAAAGGACCCTGGCTCACTACACATTGGGTCACTGATTTGTTGTATGATGTCACAACTGGTATTTATGAACAACAGCAGAACTGATATCTTTCTGACGTTTTTTCATGTTGTTTTTAAAGTACATTATGGTACATACTGTAATTTGCAAGTTACATATGCCTGCAACATTTCAGTCGTAAAAAAAAAAACATGTATACATTTCTGCTAGATTGTGTTCACTACCAGTGTAGCGATGTATGTTTATAATGAAATATAATGAAAAATGTTTTTATTTTATACCTGTTGCATATCATTATGTGTGATGAGTTGGTTTGCGTGATTTGTTTCACACTTCAGAAATTACGTAAGGGGAAAAAGGTGAGCACTGTTGCGTCCTGATTTTCTTGGTGCCTTGTGGGACTTTTTAGTGAGCGAATGTTTCAGTGCACTAGAAGGATTTTGCGATTAAGGCAGCCTTTAAAATGGCCAATTCCCTGATCAGTGCCCTGACTACTGAACTAGGGAGCGGATTGACACCCCCCCAAAATGTACAGTTACCTTTCGTCCTCTCTGTCTCTCTCTTTAGCCCCATCAGTCATGATGCAAGCATTTATATATGAAGGGAAGAGGGGAAAGTTTCTGACTCTTGTTGACTGATCAAAATGTTTTCACACACACAATTTCACGCTTTCTGGCCACTGCCCAACACTTCACACTGTTTACACACTCACAGAACTTACCACCGCATGCTGTTGAGATTCTGCTAAATGGGAACTAAAATATTAATTCCACAATCACCTTCAGAAATTGAAAACGGGTAGAGCACTTACCATTTTATTATTGATTTCGTGAAAATGAATTTCACAGACTTTCTCTACAATGTCTTCATTCTCAAAAGTTACGAAGCCGAAGCCTGTGAAAAGAGACAGAAACAGAGGAAGAGTCAGTCGTGCACCTTTTGAACTCAAACTCTGACAGATTTCTGCCTCCGTCAGAGGAGAGAGCGTGGGGAGTTCAGATCTGAACGGACATTGTCTTTTTAAAAGCCGAGCGCTGATGAAATCTCTCTAGCGACTGGGCGGACGAGGGGGAAATCGGACAGCAGAAAAGCACAAAGACTGTTAATGAGATTCATGGAGCCACATCTGAATTTCATTAAATGCGTTCTGCGGTGCCTTCATTGAAATTTCACCGTATAACAAGCTCCCGTTTTAATGTAAATGCGGGGCTGGAGATCCCTGAATCCATCTCTGACCGTGGGATTGTCTTCTTTTTTCATATTTATGAAATAAGAAGTTTAACCCGTTCAGATCATCCGGGCTTAACAAGGATCTGTCTGCGCTTTCATTATAATGAGAGCCGTCGGATCTGCCGCTCACGAGGGAAAATGATTTTCTATTCCTGGGTGTTAAGAGGAGGCCAACGGTGAAAACACAAAGGAAAACAACCCAGAGAGGAAGATAAACACTTTATTCACTGTTTGTTTATAAAGACAGGATGCTCTTTCAGTCGCACAACACACAAACACCATTCTGATCATTTCACAAGAGCTGTGTGCTAGAAAGACTCGCAGAAAAGTGGAGGATTGATTGAACGAGGCGGCATAAAGTGTGTTCAGATGCTGCTAATGGCTGGTGTTAGTCAGACCTTTAATGAATCATGTGCTTTCTTCATACTGTACATATTCACACCCAAACAACTGTGACAAGTTATTGTGCTATCAAATATGCTATTTCTAAATCATGGGGTGAAAAAAATACAATTTGTCAACTGTTTCTCCAAGAGAGAATATTAAGAACTTTGCAGTATCCTGGCTCTCTTTATACAGATATATATATATATATATATATATATATATACACACACACACACACAATTCTATATACAAGTCATATTTCAAAGGCTGCGTGTGCTGCATTTTGTCCTGACCCTAAATCTTATCTCCACCTTTTAAAAGATGAAAGACCTATGTAGGGCTATTCTCTCCTCCAGTGGTATGCTGGGCGTCAAAATAAAAGCATGGAGTCAAAGGTCAAGCACAGTAGACCATAGCAGCATGTGGAACACTCCAGAGATATAAGAAGATAACAGACCTTACGAGACAATCGGAAAAACACACACTACTAGAAAGAGAGATATGCAGTGTGACAACACACTCCTAACACAGGACTTTAATATAGTGTTTGATGATTCTGAAATGGCCTTCACATTTTATATGCAAAGAGGTTAGCCAATCACAGCAGAGCTCATTTGCATACAGAAGCTGTAAGTTACATTTACAATGACAAGGATCACTTGAGATTGTGTTGGTTGCACTGCAGTATGCAACTTTAAAGGAAGCGGATCACACACACACACATCACTCCTCATTTGCATAAAGTTGAACTTTGCCTTAAATCGCCAACTCTTATAGAAAATTACAAATGACTTTAGGTTTCTACAAATTGCTTTCAGTATGAACATCCATCTCTGTTCGTTGTCTGCTCTTGTAGAAGCAGCTTTGGTCTGTTTGCTAGTATTGAGAGCAGTAGTGTGTGTGTGTGTGTGTGTGTTGCCTGGAGGGTGATCTTAAAAACGAAGAAGATAAGACTGCTGACAAATCAGATATCAGGAGCCATTTGTCTCTGCAGATTTCAGACGAAGAAACACGCATACACCTGTGCTCTCTAGAGAACTCTTACGTCACTGTGTGACCACAACACACAGGCGCTACTAAATCTGGACAAGCTCCCGGGCTTCATCGCATCATGCTATTCCATCAGGAGTCTGAAGGGGGCAGTGCTGTGATAACTGAGTCTCTGGCTCTGGGACAGTCTGACCTCTGTGTTAACAAAACACCCACTCACTTTCACACACTCACAATCATGTGAACACACACACACACCGCAGAGTCTCGTCCAAGTCTCAGCACACCCTGAATAGCCAACACTTTAGAGAGGAAACATATGCTCATCTCAGCTGAGTGTGGCGCGTGCTGTGTTCCCTGGTGTGGCAGCTCCCAGAGCTTCATTCGCTCAGACAGATGTGAGAGGATCTGAAAAAGAATTGGGGATGATGTCTCTGTTTTACTTAATGATGATGCAAACTCATCCTGCTATGGGACGAAACAAGACACGAGTTATGCTCTCTCTCTAGTGTCAAACATGTAGAGACTAGTCTCAGCTTCAGATTTGGATTGTCTGATACATAATGCGCACAAAAAAACAACTCAAATCTGCTCGACACCAAATATCAGAAAGAATTTTGAGGTGCACAAAAGCAAGTAAACAGGACATGTCTAAACTAAATTCTCCTTTGGTTTTAGAGGCATGTTTGAAATAATTCTGACTTTGGGGTGGAAATTCTGACCCCAACGACTACATGCATTTTCCAATTATGTGTTTGCTGTAGTTTATAGGGATGCATGATATATAACTTTATGATTATCGGAATTTTTTCTAAACATATTGTTTTGGTCCATAATGGATACATATTGGTCAATATCAAGATCAGATCAGAATATTGTACATGCTCATTTCAGTGTTATTTTAGTATTATTTACATACAGTACTATCATAGTATTTATGAATATTTTGAATTGGTGTTAATTTTGTATAGTTTGTCATTGTTACATGCCTTTACAAAATGTCAAAATTAATATTTTTCATACTGTATGAAATTTTTTGTGATGCCTTAATACATTTGTAGCATTTACAATGACAGAAATTAATTTTAGTGTAAAATATTTCATTTAGACAAATTTTGATTGAATGTATCAGTGATTTACATCAATAATTAATGCATCAGTATCAGACATCCCTCCTGAAACAGCAGCAGGCTTAACTGCAATAATTTCATCTCAGACCGTGGTCAGTTTGGTTTAAGTAGCTCTCGTTACAGGACAGAGGATGCTAATGATTTCTCCACATGCAGTGTAACATTAGACGGCTCGTCCTGTGTGTGTAATGGATCTCCATACCAGTGATTATTAGATTTCTCTGCCCCTCATCTGACTATACTTACACCTGTGTGTTTTTGTTTTCGTCACTCTGATGTGCTTTAACAGATTTATCAGTTTTTTGTATCTCAATGAGCACACTGGCCAACGTATGTGCGTTTCTGTAAATGTTCTTGGGGGGATATTTAGCATTTAGCTCAATTTAAAAATCCCCAGATGAGGGAGAGAGCGGGAGAAAGTCAACGTTTTCAAATGGAGTCTGACAGCGCATGAACTTTAACTGCTGCCGCTTTCTCTCTGCCTCATCTTATGTGAGCAAATGATGGTCTTCTGGAACTTTCTCTCTGATGTGCTCTACTTTAAACACGTCTAACCGCCGCCAGCACAATCTGCTTTTATGCAAAGATCACTTAATGTCTCATTGATTTCGCATTTTAATGGATTTAGCGCTGCGTGGTGAGGAGGAAACCTGGTAACCCGAGAGAGTGTGAGGTGCATGTTAGTCAGAGTGGCGCTCTGCAAACGGCTGCAAACACCTCTCGCCACCTGCACCAGCGGACACTGAGTGCTGGAGTCAAAGCAGATTGCCTAAGGTGAAGAGAAAGTTTCAAAGAGAAAGAGAGAGAGGTGTTGATTGTCCTCAGAGCCGCAGGGACGCTGTTTGTCTTAATAACCGTGGATAGCTGGTGCTTTAGCCATCTGCTGTGCTGAAAAGGCCCTGGGGGGAGGGGGGGTGAGCGCGGCTGAAGTCATGGAGGTCATACTGCAGGACTGAGGGGTCAACAACACTGAGGACAGAGCAGATCTGGTGTTAAGTTTCGTTTTAAACCACACACACTAATGCAGGAGGACATTTGAGACACTGTCTGCATACTCTGACAGAGCCAATCTTAAAGCATGGTCCACTTTGCAGCTCATTCTGGCCAAGAACTGCCGTCTTATGACATGTGAAATGATAGACTGCAGTTCATTATTAAAATTTGTCAAATTTTACAAACTAAAATTCATTTAAATGCTACAAGTGAATTTAGGAATCACACCATTGGGACTCCTTCTGCCGGTTACACTGCTACAGCAGTAGGTGGCGACAAGTAACTGTGTTTGTCAGTGAGTTACTGAGTTACTGAGTCATTCATTCAAGCAATTTGTTCAAAAACAGATTTTTTTATAAACGAAATAATTGACTGCCTTTAAGTCATTTAATCATACACGCACGATTTGTTTAAAGACAATGATTCATTCTGAAATTAAACAAGTGACTTGGTGCGTCTCAATCAGCACCCTAGCTTCCTATAGGGCTTAAAACAATATAGTGTACACAAATTCGGCCACTGGTAAGGACAGTAAGGACCCAGGGTCAGTACATAATGGGACACTGATGACTATTTCCGGCGACATGAAAACGTCTAATAATTCAACATCACTACTGGTATTTATGAACAACAGCACAACTGATATATATTTTTTTAATGTTATTTAAAATACATTATGAAAAATGTTTTTTTTTTTTTACATATACGTGCAACATTTCAGCCATAAATAAATTATAAATGTTAGCTAGATTATATTATTTACCCGTCTAACAATGTACAGTATATTTATCTGAAAAAGGAATATTTCGCAAAACTGCAATGGAAACAGGTTTTGCGCATTTACAGTCAGCTGACTTAGAGAAGACGCGGGGATAATAATAATAATAATAATTATCATCATTATTATAACATTTATTAGGCTACATATGTAGAAGACGCTTATCAAAAAAAAGGAACAAAGCAATTCGTCACATATCATTCACAATACAGGGCTAAGATGATCACAAATAGGCTAAACAAGATTTTGACGCATATCCAAGTGTGTGTGCGGAATGTGGAGCGCGCACTGGATGGCACGGAGGCGCGGGCGCGAACACTTGCATTTTCCTATCAACAGTGGAAACAACTTAAAATAGGCTAGCCTACTCTATCATTTCTGGTCAT